CCCGCCTGAGGAGTCGCGCTGCTAAAGCTGCTTGTCGTGGAGGCGCTGGGAGTGCTGGTGTCTCTGGTCCTGAGGGTGCTCGTACTGGAGGTAATGGAGCTGCTGGGACTGGTACTGCTCCTAGAGCTCGAGGTGTCGGCTCTGGGGGTGCTGCAGCTGGAGGTACTGGGGCTGGAGGCCCTGGAGCTAGTGCTGTCGACCCTGGCGTTGGAGACCCTGGAGCTGGAGGTGCCGGTTCTGGGGGTGTTGCTGTTGGAGGCCCTGGAGCTGGTACTGTTGACTCTGGAGTTGGGGACCCTGGGGCTGGAGGTGCCGGTTCTGGGGGTGCGGCTAATGGTGGCGCTGGAGCTGGAGGTTCTGGAGCTGCTGGAGGAGCTGGAGCTGGAGGTGCTGCTGCTGGAGTCACTGGAGCTGGAGGTGCTGCTGCTGGAGGCGCTGGAGCTGGAGGTTCTGGAGCTGCTGAAGCGCTGGAGCTGGAGGTGCTGCTGCTGGAGTCACTGGAGGTGGAGGTGCTACTGCTGGAGGCCCTGGGGCTGAAGGTTCTGGCGATGCTGGAGGCGTTGGAGCTACTGGTACTGGTGGCACTACCGCCGCGACTTTTTTTCGCTCCGCCGTCACCGTCGGCTCTGCCACCACCTACTCCGTGCTTCGCCAGGTTCTTAGCCTCCCGTCTTCTACTGGCCTCCCGTTACAGCCCGACGCACCACTGCCTGCTCCTTCTCCTTACAGTGAGCAGACAGACTTGCTTACATAGCATCGTGAGCCAGAGTCTCGTCCTGCCTCGCCTGTTCGCGCGCGTCGCACTGGTAGTCGTGTTCCTCGTGAGCGTCCGCCTCCTGACCCTGGCACGCACGCTATGGCACTTCGTCCTTCCTCTGTTCTACAACGTGTTCCCCTACCGTCTCCTCCTACGTCTTCTCTGCCTGACGTTCAGGACCCTGAGTCTGACCTGGTTCGTGCTGCTCACCCTACTGTCACGCGTCTGTTAGCCACTGTTGTCACTGGCCTGTCGTTTGAGTCTGCTGTTGCGTCTGTCTTAGTCTCTGAGCTTGTTGACTTTGCTGCTGCCTGTCGTCTCGACTTCGCTGCTAGTCTTGTTGCTGAGTCTGAGTCTGTCTGTCCTCTGGCTGTCGGGGGTGAGTGTGCTCTTGGCACGGACGTCCTTGAGGACAGGCAGGAGGACTTTGAGTGTCTTGCAGCCGCTTCGCCTCATCTCGTGGCCATGCTGCTTGCCCCTGAGAGAGACCCAGATGCTCCAGACATCCCGACCCCGCGCTCTTACGCTGAGGTGATCGCGGGTGAGTACTCCTCTCAGTGTCAGACAGCCATGGACGCAGAGATGGCATCCTAGAAATTCACTGGCACTTACGTCGACGCAGTTCCCCCTCCTGGGGCGAACGTAGTCGATGGCATGTGGATTTTCAGGGTGAAGCGGCCGCCGGGTTCTCCGCCTATCTTCAAGGCTCGTTACGTTGCACGAGGCTTTAGTCAACGACAGGGAGTTGACTTCTTCCAGACCTTCTCCCCCACCCCGAAGATGACCACTCTTCGGCTTCTGCTGCACGTTGCCGCTCAGCGTGACTACGAGCTTCACTCCCTGGACTTCAGCAGAGCGTTCTTACAAGGCAGTCTGCACGAGGAGATCTGGCTGCGCCGCCCACCTGGCTTCACTGGGTCGTTCCCTCCTGGTACCCAGTGGAGCCTCCGCCGGCCAGTCTACAGTCTCCGTCAGGCGCCTCATGAGTGGGACGACACACTAAGGACGACACTTGCGGCTCTTGGGTTTGCACCTTCCACTGCTGACCCGTCGTTGTTTCTGTGCACCGACACTTCCTTGCCGGCGACATCCTCGTGTACGTCGACGACTTGGTCTTTGCCACTGCTGACACTGAGGCTATCGCCCTTGTGAAGTCAGAGCTGTAGAAGAGACACGCGTGCACAGACCTGGGTGAACTGCGCAGCTACCTTGGCCTGCAGATCACCTGGGACAGAGCACAGCGCACCATCACACTGACTCAGTCACACATGGTGCAGCAGGTCCTTCAGCGCTTCGGCTTTACTTGGTCCTCGCCACAGTCCACTCCTCTGGCTACCGGTCACTCGCTCTCAGCTCCACCTTCGGACGAGTCTGTAAAGCCGAGTGGCCCGTATCCAGAGCTAGTGGGTTGCCTCATGTACCTGATGACCTGCACTTGTCCTGACCTCGCGTACTCTCTTGGCCTTCTGGCACGCTACGTGGCTCCTGGTAGGCACCGAAAGGTGCACTAGGATGCTGCGAAGAGGGTACTGCGTTACTTGTGCAGTACATCGGGCATGGGGCTCGTGCTTGGAGGGCGGAGCTAAGTTGTCCTCACTGGAAACTCATACGCTTCTTGGGTTGACGACCTAGCTACGCAGCGGTCGTCACAGGGTTACACGTTCAGCCTTGGCTCTGGCTCTATTTCGTGGCAGTCTACACGCTCGTCTTCTGTTCTCAGCTCCAGTTGTGAGGCTAAGTTCTACGCCACAGCCATGGCTGCACAGGAGCTACACTGGCTCACCTACCTGCTGACCGACTTGGGAGAGAGGCCTTATTCTCCTCCAGTTCTGTACGTCGACAACAAGGCTGCCATTCCCTTGTGTTTGGACCACAGACTGGAGCACAGAACGAAGCACATCGCTCTGCGTTACTTCCTTGCTCGAGAGTTGCAGCAGCGTGGTCAGCTTTGTGTCGCTCACGTGCTCACCCGGGCCAACACGGCTGATGTGTTCACCAAGGCCCTTCCGACTGGTGATCATCAACGCATTTGCACTGCTCTAGGCCTGGTGCCTACGTTTCCTCACTTGTTGTAGACTCTGGTTGTACTGTGACCTATATATATTCTTATATACCTGCATGTTTAATCTTGCTAGGTAGTGATCACTGTACTGTTGTTGTTGCATATATATCTCTGCATGTGAGTTGGCCTTGTGGCCCTTTTGCTTGTGCTCGGAGTGTGTGGCGACGTTGTGATCCACCCTGAGCTTGCTTTGCTTTTTCTTGATTGGTCTTGTGACCCTTCGTTCTCCCCCACTTTGCCTATGGGGGTGTGTCAAACCATATCTGTGCTAGTTGTGTGTAGGCTATAGTGGGGTAGCCCATGTGGGGTACAACCCAATATTAGGGTTAGTACTTCTACCCACAATTCATGCAATGCAATCATTTCCTGCTTGTTAATTCTTAACAAACCCAGCATGGCTAACTGCCTTTGGGACCTTGCCATCACCTCCTAACCCAGCATGGCTAACTGCGTTTGGGACCTTGTCATCACCTCCCAACCCAGCATGGCTGCCTTTGGGACTTTTCTTATCCCCCCCAATGCTGACATCTTCCCTTCCCTCCCCTTGGAAATGAGGAGAAGCAGCCTTCGGAGGGGAAGGGCAATAAAGGGGCAAGGAGGTGGGGGTGTGGGGGGGAGTTTTGTTTGATTATGCTCACACCGTTAGAGGGATGAGAAGGGAACAACAGGGAATGGAAGCGCAGGGAAGCTAAGGAGAGGGATGGGCAGGTGAGAGAAAGGCATGGGGAGTGGAGGCAAGATGACTAGGAGATCAAAGGCGCAACGAGGCCCAGCACGACGAGGGTAGTGGAGGTGCGCCGAGGGGAGTGGAGTGGAGGCGAGAAGAGGAGAGGGGCTGTGAGACGAGAGGATGCTCGACAAGGGGAGGGGAAGTGCGACAACGGATGGCGCGATGAGGGTGTTGGCATGCCGACAGAGGCCAGGAGCTAAGCGACGAAAGGAGGGGTGGCACCCTGAGGGGTGGTAAGACGATGGGAGAGGAGGCGCGACAAGGGGAGGCGCCTTGAGGGAAGGGGAAGCTTGATGAGGGGACGTGAGGCGCGAGTGATTGAGACAGTCATACTGTATGTGTATGGGCAGGCGTGGTAAGGTGGCTTCAGTCACCTTTGTGACCACATTGACTAGCTTGAGCATATGCATGTAGATTTATCTAAACTCTTTGTATGGAGTAGTTTAATAACTAGCTACCTTCTCGCCTTTTGAACTATCAAGTATATAATTGCTCAGATTATTGTCTTAACTCAATACTGGGTTGGGCTTTCATATTTAGTGAGACGCCCCATAGCCCAGGTGATATTTACTCGTCCAGGTGAGTTGTCATGTGAGGTATGAGGATTTCGCCAACTTCTGTTTGAGTTCGCACATGCGAATTGGTTTCGCACAAACTCAAAATTCCCAACACGTACACACAACCTTTGAACCTCCTCATCCTTCGACGCGCTTCGGTAATTTTTTACCTGGCGCACGAACATTGCCCTAGCGAAGAACAGGCAGGCCCCACCTTCACCTGACGCAATTCCGGTTCCGCCCCTCCCAAGTCTGCTGCGGCCAGTTCGTGCCACATTGAATTCAATGTCGCACGAACATCGGAATAGCGCGCCACTAGCACAACACCACACTGCCAGCACCCCCTAGACCCAGATTCCGCCTTCTCCTTCCACCCACCAGCTCCAATATACACCTATTTCTAAGTGTCTTCACTCCACCAGCGTTGCCAGCGTGGCCGCTTTCGCTTGCCCTACAAGCTGCCCACCTTGCGCACGCGCTTCGTGTCGCGAAGACGCCCCGGCGAGCAACAGACGATATAAAATAACTTCATTTCCAAGGATCGATGTATACTTTGCCATCGTTCCTTCGCCATCCGAGTCCTTTCACAACTACAATCGTCACCACGCGATTCATATCCGCTGCATACATTGCATAGTTGACCCCATGGCTCCTCTAGTCTCTGCAAAAGGTGTGTGGATCGCTCAATACTCTCTCTACCAATCTTTCGTATCGACTCAAAAGTCCTCTCATTCTCAATGTTCGTGCATCTCAATCTCGTCAGTCGTTGCTGTCGTCATTAAAGCTCTCGCTCGAATCCATTCTGAATTCTTCGTTTCTCGCGCTGTCATCAGCAATGCCCTCGCTCCATCACCAGCGCTTCTGAATCCGAGTTGCTCTGATCTGTTACCGGACATGCTCTTACTCCCACTCCTTCTGCGGTTCGCATTGCGGCCTTCACCGCCCGCACTCATCGCTGTGCGCCCCTCCGCGCCCCTATCCCCTTACAGGAGCGCTCGTCCTCGGGCTGCTCTTCGCGTCCGCGCTCCTCACTCTCGCCGCCCGACCGAAATGTGAGTGCGCCGCTCAACAACCTTCCTCGTCGTTGCGCCCTCGTCCCACTCTGTTTCCGCCGTCGTCGCGCTCTCCTCTCGCCCTCGACCAGCAATCCTCTCGCGCTGGCATAGCCTGCACTCGCCACCTGCCGCCCGTTGTACTGATCGATGCGTTTGTTCCCACCTCGTCGCATGTTGTCACCCGTTGTCGCAGGCGTGCTGTACTCGAATTGGGACGTGACGGATAAACTGCAGACGCAAGCGAAGAAGAGCGGCAAGTCTACCAAGTCGCTGCCCACTGGCAGACTCACCATCAAGGAATATAAGTACGGCTTTCTGCTACGCCATTTCGCCACGCTTTTCCGCTGTGTCATTTGTCTGTGCCACTCCGCTGCGCCGTTCCGCTGTGCCATTTCACCACGCCCGCCCTCATTACCCGCTCGTTTCTCCCCCTCGAACTCACACATCTGTCCGCGCGTTTCTCGATCGCAGGGGCAGCGACGACGAGTCGTTCGACCTGCAGGTGACTGCCGAGGTCACGGAGCTCCCAGAGCCGCCGGTGGGGATTGTGATCGGAAAGGGCAAGTTCGGCAGCAACACGGGAGTCTCGTGGTACATCAACAAGCCGTGGAGCGGCGGCGGCGGCTCATACAAGCTCGACTTCAAGCTGACGGCCATTGAGAAGATCAAGCCACGTGGCGGCAGCGGCACGGTTCTGGAGGTGCTCCAGGCTGTGGATAAGGGTGTCGTGTCGGATTACTACACCGCTGTTCTCACCAAGTCGACCAGGAAATCCGGTGGCCTCGTTGGTGGCGGGTTCGTCAAGGGCTTCCCCAATATTCTGCCCATGTTCAGCTGCTAAATCCAGCAGTTGGGCCTGCTGTTGCTGTGGGGCCCTTCAATACAGCCATGCAGCCCCTAAATTCTCGGCAATAAAAGATGGGAGAACCCCATCTCATAATTGGCTTAGCAGCTGCTTGTTGGCGTTAGACTTGTTTTGTACTTTTAGAAGTTATTTTTATGAGATGTCAGTTTGTACATTCATATAACGCTAACGCACTACGGTGTAGTACACAACCACCGTAATTCCCAGCACAACCGCCAAAATTGTCCGCTGCTGCGATCATCAGACGTCGGTCCGTCAACATCTGTTTTCCCGCGCTCACATCTCACATCACCACCTAGCCTACCCCCAATCTCCACTCCACATCAAACGAACCTACCTCTCCCCCGCTGCCCCTTCAAACGAACTGCCCCTGCGCGGAAAACCCGGCACAGAGTTCTAGGGCCCACGGACGGACCCAAAACATCCACCCCGCACTTGAATCCTGTCCCCCCAACTCGACAGACAGGCGGAGCAGGCACGGTTTTCGCACCATTTGACACGGTGCAGTTCGGTGCGCTTTTCCCTTACGCCACTTGTGCTTTCAAATGAACTCAACAAAGGGAAAATATGCCACACGTAATCAACAAGGGTCTCGATAATATGTTTGGTAAAAAAAAAACGGGTACGGTGACTGCAAAGGGTGTTTTCACGTGGTTGATAACACGTTTCACGGAATCAGTCACAATCAACGGGGAAAAAAAAACGCGAATGGTCACAGATGAAACTCCCGCCCAAAAAAGATAATACCCAAAACGAACCTGGATACATTTTCGGATGAATCAACCCTAAACACAATTCGCCAGGTGTTTAGGGTTGATCCGTTCCCGAACCGCCTCCGTTTCCGATTGGGTTTTAGTTTTTTTAGAAGTTATCTGATTGGTTCGTCGCGAGCGGGAATTTTGTAGAGTTTCAAGAGTTTTTGGCGGGAGTTACATGTGTGACCATTCGCGTGATTTTTTACCTGTTGTGAGTTACTGAATCCGTGACCCCACTTACCAAGCCCGTCAGCAAACCCGATAGGGTGATCGTACGCGCTTTGTTTTTACCACTCACGTTATCGAGTCCCATGTTGGTTACTTGTGACATAATTTCCCCTCAACAAACACACATCCATCGAAAGGTACCAACCAAATCTGACCGTGTTCCCTAGCACTCCGCAGACTTGTTTCTAAGCTTAGCTAGTAGTTCTCGAGTCTAGCGTTCCTTGCGGGCTTGTCGGCAGAGTGGGAGCGGCGTGGCGAGCGAGTCCTCGCGCGGGGCTATGGCGAGCGTCAATCCCATATCCCTCGCAGGACCCTCGCCGCAGGACGTTCAACGGACGAAGGAGCTTGAGAAGGTGATGCCGCGCGAGATGCGGTGGACGCGCGAGACGAGATAGCGAGATGCGCTAGATGTGACAGATGCGTGAGATGCAGTAGTCGCGCAAGACGCGCGAGATGCGCGAATCTGCGCTTCCAACTTGTAGGATCTATGCTGCCGTGTCTGCCGTCCACGCAGTATCGATTATCAGTTGAGGCTTCTAATATTGAGGAGGTATCAGTACTATTTGAGGCTTCTTGTGTGAGCGAGGCACTGACGCGTTGATGCCGTGCTGCTGGGCTTTGACTGGGACATGTGCAGTTTCGACTCAAATTACACCTTGATGACATGCTGTGCGATTGGGCTTTAACTGGGGCATGTGCAGTTTCTGGTGGATGCGGGGTTGTACGAGAGCCAAGACGAGGCCATCTTGCGGGAGGAGGTTCTCGGTCGCCTCGACGAGGTTAGTCTGTCGGTCGCCTCGACGAGGTTAGTCCGCTGAGCACTCGAAAGAAACGCACCGCCACGTGCGTTTCGCCAAGACGCACCGCAAGCGATTGTCTGTCTGTCTCTGGTATTCGCGATTTGATGCGCATGTGCAACTCCATCTCGTGTTGTTTGCATGTCGGTCGCGCGGATGGCGAAGGCGTGCGTGCGGAGCGTGGTTGGGGAGCGTGCGTGCCTGTTTCTCTTTCTGACTAGCCTGCGTACATCTGTTTTCCCCTGTGCTTGCATGCGTGTGTGTGTGCGTGCGCGTGTGCGTGTGCGTGTGCGTGTGTTTGTCCGTTTCTTCCCACGTCGCATCGCAGATAGTGAAGGTGTGGGTGAAGAGCGTGAGTCGTCGCAAGGGCTTTAACGATCAGTTCGTAGCGGACGCCAACGCCAAGATATTCACCTTCGGCTCCTACCGCCTCGGGGTGAGCACCTTCGCCGCGCGCTTCTGCTCCGCGCGCTTACTTTCCGCGCTTCGATCTTCACCTGTCAGGTGCTTACCGCCTCGGGGTGAGCGGTGGCGCTACTACCGCCTGGGGATGAGCACCCTGTCGTGCACTCTTCTGCCCCGCGCTCTGACGTTCCGCGCTTTGTTCCATCCGTTCTAATTGCCGTCTGCTAATTGCCGTCCTTGCCGTCCCGCGTGTATCCACCAGGTGCACGGCCCAGGCGCCGATATCGACACGCTGTGTGTGGGCCCGCGTCACGCCACCAGGGAGGTACGCCCTCCCGCTGTTGCCACTCCATTTTCACCCACAACGGCTCTGGCTGCTCTTTCGTGCACAAGTATTGCCTCGCTGGCCGTTCCAGTGGTTTATCATGTCCGGAACATTAACCCTTTTTCCCGCTCGCTCCCCCCGCCTCGTTCCTCCCTCCTCGAGGTGCCCCAGTCCACCTACCCACGTGTCTGTCCTCCCCCCCCACTCCCTCCCTCCCTCTCTCCCCACCCCCCCCGCCACGTTTTCCCCCACAGGAGGATTTCTTCGGCGCGCTACACGACATGCTCGCGCAGCTGCCGGAGGTTCTCCGGTCCCCCCAACCCACGCGCCTTTCCCCCGACGGCCCGCTCTCTCTCTCCCCCTCACTCCCCGGGTCCCCCCACCGCAGGAGGACTTCTTCGGCGCGCTACACGACATGCTGGCGCAGCTGGCGGAGGTGACGGAGCTACACTCCGTACCCGATGCACCCAGTTCCACCCACGCGTCTTCCCCTCCACTTTCCGCTTCTCTCTCCCCCTTCCCCCCCTGCCTGCTCTTCCGCAGGAGGACTTCTTCGGCGAGCTGCGCGACGTGCTGGCGCAGCTGGCGGAGGTGGGCCATTCCCCCCTGCACCACTCCCACCGCCTCCCGCCCTCTCCCTCTCGGGTGTTTCCCCTCCCCCCCCCCCCGCAGGAGGATTTTTTCGGCGAGTTGCACGACATGCTGGCGCAGCTGTCCGAGGTGACGGAGCTGCACTCGGTGCCCGATGCGCACGTGCCCGTGATGAAGTTCAAGTTCCGCGGCATCTCCATCGACCTGCTCTACGCGCAGCTCGCGCACACCGTCGTCCCCGAGGTGCGTGGCTTGCCATTCCCGAGGTGCGTGGATTGAGAAGGTCCGAGGTCCGTGTTTTTGCTGCGCGCCCTTACGCGCCGCGCCTCCCGCCATCGTCTCCAGGCATGGCGTGGCGTGGCGGGAGGTGCAACTGTCAGGGGAGGCGATTCACGTCACTCGAGTTGCTGGTTGACTCGCATCGCGTGTGTTTGCTGGGTTGTGTGCGTGGCAGGACCTGGACCTCTCAGAGGAGGCGATACTGCAGAACGTGGGTGCGTGGACGCAGCGGTCGCTCAATGGCTGTCTGATGCTTGGCTCCATACTCACTGCATGTTCTCTCCACTGCACTGTTCCGTTGTGCGTGGGGTGTTTCTTGCGGGTTGTGCGTGGCAGGACCTGGATCTATCAGAGGAGGCGATACTGCAGAACGTGGACGAGTGGACGCAGCGGTCGCTCAACGGGTGCCGCGTGACGGACCAGATCCTCAAGCTCGTGCCCAACATTGAGGTACGCGGAGCGGAGGGGAGGGGAGGGGAGGTGCGGGGCAGGGAGGGGAGGCGAGGGGCGGGGAGGGGAGGTGAGGGACGGGGAAGGGCGGGAAAGGGCGGGAACGTTATGGCAAATGTTGAGGCATGACAAATTTTGAGGTATGGCAAATGTTGAGGTATGGCAAATGTTGAGGTATGGCAAATGTTGAGGTATGGGCAAATGTTGAGGTATGGCAGATGTTGAGGTATGGCAGTGTTGGGTATGGCCGGCCAAAGATCCAGGTACGACTTGTGTTGAGCTCTGTGTGCAGAAGTCCTAAGCTCAATTGTGTGCAGAAGTACTAAGCTCAATTGTGTGCAGAAGTACTAAGCTCAATTGTGTGCAGAAGTACTAAGCTCAATTGTGTGCAGAAGTACTAAGCTCAATTGTGTGCAGAAGTACTAAGCTCAATTGTGTGCTGCGCTGCTTGCTGTGTATGCTGCGTTGTGTGCTCTAAACTTTGTCTCGTGTTTCCCTTGTGCGCCATGTGTTTTGTGTGGTGGGTGGTGTGCTAGTTTTGAGGCGCCTCAAAACTAATTTGTCTCGTGTTTCACTGTGCGCCATGTGTTTTGTGCGGTGGTGTGCTGTCTGACGTGTGTTTTGTGCCATGTGTGCCGTGTGCAACGTACCATGGAGTGCAGACGTTCCGACTGACACTGAGGTGCATGAAGCATTGGGCCAAGAAGCGAGGCGTATATTCCAACGTGAGTCGCTCCTGCTGTGTGCGTTTCCCTCGCCCCTCGTTCCTCCCCGCCCCTCGTTCCTCCCCGCCCCTTGTTCCTCCCCGCCCCTCGTTCCTCCCCGCCCCTCGTTCCTCCCAGCCCCTCGTTCCTCCCCGCCCCGCATTCCTCCCCGCCCTCCATCCCTTGTTGCTCCTACTGATGCACCTGTTCCCCACTTATCCCACTCCCAATCTGCCAATAGTGCACTAATTCTTCCAGTCCGCACCCTCCCCACCCCGCCACTCTCCCGTTGGCACCTGCAGCACACCCTGTTTGTAGGCTTGCACGTGTAGCTGTGCTGGCTCGCAGGTCCCACTGGAATCATAGCCACAGCGCATGGGGCCAACCCAAGCCTCTCGCCTTGTCCTCTGCCTCTCTCTTCAATGCTCCTTGCCCCCCAACTGGGCGGGGTGAACTGGGCGATCCTAGCAAGGCGCGGGCCAGCTCTACCTCAACCTGCACCCTCTCTCCCCCCTTTCCCCCTCGCCCTCCCTCCTCCCCCTCACCCCCCAAAACAGGTCGCGGGGTGCCTAGGCGGAGTGAACTGGTCGATCCTGGCGGGGCGCGTGTGCCAGCTGTACCCCAACGCGGCGTCCTCCATGCCAGTCACTCTCTTCCTCCGCTTCTACACGCTCTGGCAGTGGCCTTCTTGACACCCGCCCTCTCCTCTTCTCCTTCCCCTCCCCTCTCCCCTCCTACCCTCCTTTCCCCCCTTCGTCCTCTCCTCTACCCCTCTCCCCCTTCCCCTCCCCCATTCCCCCATTTCCCCCTCCCGCCCTCCCCCCCCCAACCCCTGCCAAAATAGGCCGCGGGGTTCCTGGGCGGGGTGAACTGGGCGATCCTAGCGGGCCGCGTGTGCCAGCTGTACCCCAACGCGGCGCCGTCCTCTCCACTCCCCTGCCCCTGCCCCCCTTCTCCCCGTTCCCCCTCGTGCAGGTCGCGGGGTTCCTAGGAGGAGTGAACTGGGCCATCCTGGCAGGGCGGGTGTGCCAGCTGTACCCGAATGCAGCCCCCTCCATGCTAGTCGCGCGCTTCTTCCGCTTCTACACGCTCTGGCAGTGGCCGCTGCCCATCATGCTCACCATCATCGACCATGGCGTCATGGGCTTTAACTTCCCCATCTGGGACCCCAGAAGGAACCCGCGCGACGCGCTGCACCTGATGCCGATTATTACCCCCGCGTACCCGTGCATGAACAGTAGTTATAATGTCTCGGAGAGCACGCTGCGGGTCATGAAGGATGAGTTTCGGCGCGGGAAGGAGATTTGCGATCGGATTGAAGGGGCGGTGGGAGGAGGGGGAGCGGCAGGGGGAGCCGGGGGAGCAGCGGGGGGAGCAGCAGGGGGAGGCGCGGGGGGAGGGGGGACGGGGGAGCAGAGGGCGGAGTGGGCGGAGTTGTTTGAGCCGTTTGCGTTCTTTGAGGCGTACAACCACTACTTGCAGATCGATATCAGTGCTGCCAGCGATGCCGACATGCTCAAGTGGAAGGGCTGGGTGGAATCAAGACTGCGCACGCTCGTCACCAGGGTGGGTGTGGGTGTGGTCGGAAATGGGTGGGTGGGGTGGGTGGGAGTGGGTGTTGGTGTGTGTGTGTGCGTGGGTGGTGACCTCCCTACTTTTCAATTCAACCTCCCTACTTTTCAATTCAACCTCCCAACTTTTCAACCTCTCGATTCAACCTCCCAATCTTTCAACCCCTTCCACCGCCCGTCTCTTCCACCACCCGTCTCTTCCATCAGATCGAGCGGCATACAGATGGGCTGCTGCAGTGCCACCCGCACGTGTGCGAAATCCACGACCCGGCCCGCTCCTACCCGCACTGCCTCTTCTACATGGGCCTGCAGCGCCGCGCCCCCCCCACTCCCACCCCCACCACCCCGGGCACCCCCGGCGCTGAGGACGGCGGGAACGCCGGAGGGGGAGCGCGGGAGTTTGACATCCGGTACACGGTGGACGATTTCAAGAGCACGGTGGAGAGCTTTCAGATGTGGTGCGAGGGCATGGGGATCGACGTGCTGTATCTGAAGCGCAAGCAGCTGCCGCTGTTTGTCTTCCCGGGCGGCGTAAAGCCGCGACGCGCGTCCCGAGGGGGGAAGGGGTCGGGGAAAAAGGAGAAGGGGGCGGGAGGGGTGTCGCCTGCGAATGGAGGGGGGCGGGTGTTGGGGAAGCGAGGGGCGGAGGAGGGCGGGGAGCAGGGGGAGGCGAAGAGGGCGCTCACACCTGCTGCTGCTGCTGCCGCTGCTGTTTCTGCGTCTGCTGCTGCGGCTGCGGCGGCTGTGGGGGCTGCTGTGGGTGGTGTGGCAGCAGGAGCAGGATTGTCGCCCGTGTCCCCTGCTCTTGTGGCTGTGGGTGCTGCTGGTGGTGTAGCGGCAGAAGGAGGCGATGTGGTGGGGAGAGGGGCGGGTGGAGGGGTGGAGGGTGCGGGGGGAGCAGAGGTGCCGCAGGCAGGAGCAGCGGCAACACGCGTCACTGGCAGCCTGGACGAACTGGAGGTGGCGTTTGCTTGCTGCGCATGAAATCCGCTTTTCTGTTTCGTATGCTTCATGTTTCGCGTTTTGTCTGCCTCGTGCTGCATCTTTATTGGCAAGCAAGCCTCTGTGTCCCATCGTCGCCAGCCTTGTTCCACGCTCCTCTGCTTGCCTTTTCCCTGCTATTGCCACCTCTCTTCCCTCTTTCCCTACCCCGCTCCCTTCTCCCCCCCTGCCATCTGCCTTTCCCCCCCTGTCTCTCTCCTGCCATCCTGCACTCCCCCAACAGGCGGTGCTGCCAGGGGCAGCGCATGGCAGCATGAGGCAGGAGGCACGGCCTCGACCCACTCTCAAGTGCGCCCCTTGCACCCCCGCCGCCCGCTCCCCTGCCTAGCCCCTCACCTTCCGCCTGCAAGTTTTGTCGTGTGTTTTTGGTGTTTTCACTTCTTCAATGCACCGACGTGTTTGTTGTGTTGTTGGTCCCGTTGGTCCCTTTGCCGTCACCGCATCCCATGGTGTGTCCCTCGCCCATGAGTCCCTTCCATCGCCCTTCACTCTTCTCTTGTGCCGTTCACCTGCACGCATCTGTTGCATCTTTCCTCGTTTCTCTGCTAGCTCCCCGATCGTCCCAATTCTCGTTCACGTGTGCTGCCCATCCCCGTCACATGCGCCACCATTTCTACATGAGCCACCCATTTCCGTCACATGTGCCTCCCATTCCTGCAGGCTGAGCTTTGCGTCAGGCTTGGTTGGTCGAGTGGGACGAACCTGAGGCAGCAGCAGGTTCGGCAGCAGGTGAGGTGCCAATAAGTTCGATCCGTTCCTGCGTGCACGTATAGGTTTGACTGAGGGGTGACTTGCCTACTGTGGCCTTTCTTCTGCTCGCCCAGGGACTTGTGTGATGGTTCTGCATGGTGGTGTTTCTTTCACCTACACGCTCTCAACGTATGGTTACATCTTTAATGCGGCAAGCTTGGGACTAACAGCGGTAAGGAACTGAGCATATTGCTTGGTTATTAGGTTTTTTTTTCTCTCTCTCTTGGGGTTTTACTAACTTAGATGGTGGGTGTGAGTGTGGTGGTGATGGGATGGGGTTCCTTCGTTGTGCTTCACGAGGAGTCTTGCTGCTGAAGCAACATCGTGTCCGGCGGAGCATAGTATTACTAATCGTAGATGTCGCATCTTGTATCATGCATTTATATATACTTCGTTCACATTATTTCGGTTGACATTAGTTTCTTTCTTGAGGTGGTGCTGCATGATTTCTAAAACTACCTATTCTTGAGGTTCATAAACAAGCTTACGAATGATATTTATAGGGTGTGTAATACAAGGATGTTCGAAATTGCTTTTGGGAACTGGACGAAAGGCTGCGATGGGAAATCCTTTGGGGAAAAGATCAACGAGGGGCCGAACAGTGCCAGAGGGGTGATCAACCAGGGGCCGAGAGGCCCGGAACTTCCCAAACCGCTGCGCATAGAGGGATTAACATAGGGTCTTTCTTTATTGCACGTAATTATGTTATTAGTGGCATGTACCGGCTCGCATTTTCGCTCGCGTGTCGTTTAGGGAGCCGACTCTACTGGAAACTCTTAGGGCAGCCAAAAAAAACCACAACTCTTAGGGAACCTGGATGCATTTTCGGGATGGGTCAACCCTAAAACGGATAACTTCATGGTATTTAGGGTTGATGCCTCCCGAGTCGCATCTGTTTCCGAATGGGTAATATATTTTTTTCCAGTGCGTCTACGATCGGGTGGTGATATTTATCACCCAGAATATAATATGTTATACGTACTCACGATTTGATCCGCTGAACTTTACTTCCAGTAGTAGACGGAGGTCAAAACCCTCAATAAAAAACATGAATACACAATTTGGTTCTTCTAGAAAATATCGTTTACTTCCGGTTCGGCTTGTTCGCCAAGTCGGTTGGGCAGCTCTGGGCTGAAATCCTACGGTCGAGATTTACCGGCCCTACTTTGAACACTCCCCTGGTTGATCTTTTCCCAAACCTTTGTGAAATCGGGTCTCCTTGGGCCCTACACGTGGCAACCTCGTGTCCCTCTAGCCGACCATAACCGGTCTAGGCCAATCACGCACGTTTCGCATCTTACGGACCGCGTCCGCTGAAGCTAAATCCTCCTCACAAGCTTCGTCGGGTCTCTCTGCCCCTCCATCCTTCACAGACGGACCTTGCGCATATTTGCTGTAAACAAAACAAACCGACCCAAAACGCTCTCAATCCTTCAAGGCAAACTTTCTTTATCCACTCAATCTCCTTTCCTCTCTGTTTTCCTTTTTATCTACCAACCAACTCTCGAAATCCTTTTTCTTCCTTCGAGCTTGTCGATCGAGATCGCTTCTTGCTTTTCTGCCTTGCGTTCCTTGTGAACCCTAATCAGGGATCAGGGTTTTGCGCAACCAGCAGTCGCACTCTCGTGCCTAGCTTGATTCACGGCTGCTGCTTCTAAGCCGGTCGTACGCCTCCGTTTCCGCGATGGCGGACGCTAGCGGGCCAGAGAACGATAAGAATATAGAAATATGGAAAATCAAGAAGCTGATTAAGGCTCTCGAGCAGGCGAGAGGAAACGGGACGAGCATGATTTCTCTGATCATGCCGCCGCGCGATCAGGTCGCGCGAGTAGCGAAGATGCTTGGCGACGAGTTCGGGACGGCGTCGAACATTAAGAATCGCGTGAACCGGCAGTCCGTGTTGGGTGCTATCACGTCCGCGCAACAACGACTCAAGCTCTACAACAAGGTATCTATGGTTTACTTAATCTTCACAATGAATTAATGTGTGCTTACGCGAAAGCGATACTTACACGCACGAACACTCAGAAGGAGATGCCATGGTCGTCGCGCGATAATTACAGAATAGAACGCGATGCCACCCTTTCGGTGTCCGTTTGACGATGGTTTTGGAAAGGTCGATGAGTTGCGGCTGGTCGTGAGCGGTCGCGGAAACGATCAGCGATCGGGAGGTGTATGTGATTGGCTCGGTCATGGTTAAAGCCCGGCTTTTGCGTCTCGCTGCGCTCACCCTCTCCATTTCACACGAGATGCCGTGTGTACAACAAGCGAATCTGTCGTGCCGGGAATTCGGGAAGCAGTTCTCCAAGTAGCTGCCGCATAGGCGCCAGATGCGCGCCGATTCACGCCACGAGAGAAACTCTGTTCTTACCCGGTTCTCTCTTCCTTTCTCCCCTGCGAAAATTCAAGATCCCTCGTCTCGTCTCAAACTTTTGTCACAATCCCTCTTCACACTCCGTCTGCCAGGTCCCTCCCAACGGTCTGGTGCTATACACGGGCACGATCGTGACAGACGACGGCAAGGAGAAGAAGGTAACGATCGACTTCGAGCCGTTCAAACCCATCAACGCGTCGCTGTACCTCTGCGACAACAAGTTCCACACCGAGGCGCTTAACGAGCTCCTCGAATCCGACGAGAAATTTGGCTTTATCGTCATGGACGGCAACGGCGCGCTCTTCGGCACGCTCTCGGGCAACACGCGCGAGGTGCTGCACAAGTTCACGGTGGATCTGCCCAAGAAGCACGGGCGCGGAGGGCAGTCCGCGCTGCGTTTCGCGCGGCTGCGCATGGAGAAGCGGCATAACTACGTGCGGAAGACCGCGGAGCTCGCGGTGCAGTTCTTTATCAACCCGCAGACGTCGCAGATCAACGTGTCGGGATTGGTGCTCGCGGGAGCTGCGGAGTTCAAAACGGAGCTGAGTCAGTCCGATATGTTCGACCAGCGCCTGCAGGTGAGCTTGGGAGGGGCACAGTGCGGTGGAAAGGGGCACTGAGGGTAAACGTGGTGCGGGGGAAGCGCATGTGGGGGGTGGGGGGCATGGGTGCTCGCGGGCGCCGCGGAGTTCAAGACGGAGCTGAGCCAGTCGGACATGTTCGACCAGCGCCTGCAGGTGAGACCCGGAGGTTGGGAGGGGCGCGGTGCGGTGGAATTGGGTAAGGGTGAGAAGACGTGGGTGCGAAATGCGCGGGAGGGATGGGATGTGGGGATGAGGATGGGCATGGGGCTGGGAGCATGGGGCGTTGGGCGTGGGGCATGGTTCGTCTTTCACACTCTCGGTTCCACTCTCTCGCGTTCATCATCCCTTTTCGCCATCCCTTCGCCACTCCTTCGTCATCTTCCCTCGTCACCACTCGAAGATTCTCAACGCGGCTCACCTCTCTCCTCTTTCGTTTCCGCCTCATTCACCACCTTTATCACCCGTCTGTACCCCGCCGTACCCCTCTGCACCCCCTCATTGAACCACAATTGAAGATCCTGAACGTGGTGGACGGGTTATACGGTGGCGAGAACGAATTCAGCCAGGCCATTGAGCTCAGCGCGCCACCCCATCACCCCTCTTCACCACTCATCACCCCTCTCCACCCCTCTGTACCGTTCTGTACCCCTCATAACCCCTCCCACTTACATCAGACCAAGATCCTGAACGTGGTGGACGTGTCATACGGCGGAGAGAACGGGTTCAGCCAGGCCATCGAGCTCAGCGCGGAGCTGCTGGCGAACGTCAAGTTCATCCAGGTGAGAATGGGTTGGAGAGCGGTTGGGTGAGAGGCAGAGCGGTGTGGCGAGGGCGTGCACGGGTGAGAGGCGAGGCAAAGCCAGGCCATCGAGCTCAGTTCCGAGCTGCTGGGTAACGTCGAGTTTATCCGGGTAAGAAACGTCGGTCCCTCATACCCTCTGTCTGCCGCATGTTACACCATTTGTGCCCTCCCACCCACGCCAGGAGAAGTGGCTAACCGGACGGTAATTCGATGAGATCAGCCAGGACACGGGCAAGTACGTGTTTGGCGTGGACGACACGCTCAAGGCGCCACCCCTCCCCGCCCTTGCCCCATCTTTCCATCCTCCATTCACCCTCTGCTTCAGGAAAAACGCCTGATTGGTCGGTAATTCGATGAGATGAGTCAGGACACGGGCAAGTATGTGTTTGGCGTGGACGATCATGCTCCCTACCCTCCCCGTCCTCATTCCCCATTTCCTTGTGCGCCCCATTCCTCCTCTCCCCATTCCTCCACTCCCCATTCCTCCTCTCCCCATTCCTCCTCTCCCCATTCCTCCTCTCCCCATTCCTCCTCTCCCCATTCCTCCACTCCCCATTCCTCCTCTCCCCATTCCTCCTCTCCCCATTCCTCCTCTCCCCATTCCTCCTCTCCCCATTCCTCCACTCCCCATTCCTCCTCTCCCCATTCCTCCTCTCCCCATTCCTCCTCTCCCCATTCCTCCTCTCCCCATTCCTCCACTCCCCATTCCTCCTCTCCCCATTCCTCCACTCCCCATTCCTCCACTCCCCATTGCCCCAGGAGAAGCGCCTGATTGGTCGTTACTTTGACGAAATCAGCCAGGACACGGGCAAGTACGTGTTTGGGGTGGACGACACTCTCAAGGCGCTCGAGATGGGTGCTGTGGAGATCCTGATCGTGTGGGAGAACCTGGACGTCAACCGATACACGCTCAAGGTGAGACAGCAGGGGTGGGGATAAGGTGTTACCTGCGAGATGCACAGACGGCACTCTAGTAGGCACGGTGGTGAGATGGGCGCCTCATCACCCCTATCCCCCCCTTTCCAACCCTCCGCACCCCTCTCCACCACACAGAACGCAGTCACAGGCGAGATCGTGATCAAGAATCTGAGCAAGGAGCAGGAGAGCGACCAGAGCCACTTCAGGGAGGCCGAGACAGGCGCCGAGCTGGAGGTGCAGGAGAAGACGTCCCTCTTAGAGTGGTTCGCCGAGGGGTACAAGAAGTTTGGGTGCACGCTTGAGTTTGTGACCAACAAGAGCCAGGAGGGCTCGCAGTTCTGCCGAGGTTTTGGCGGGATCGGCGGGATCTTGAGGTACCAGCTGGACATGAGAACGTTCGATGAGGCGAGCGACGACGACGCTGTTTACGATGATGACTCGGATTAGGGTGGGCTATGGTGACGTCTCCTGGATAGGGGGGGTTGGAGGGAGCGGCGGGGTCGCTCAGTGGGATCGGCGGGATTCTGAGGTACCAGGTGGACATGAGAAGGTTGGATGAGGCGAGCGATGACGATGCTGTTTATGATGATGATGTTGACTCGGATTAGGGCGGGTTGCAAGCCTGCAAGTCTGATGGTGGAGAGGCGGTCCGGGAGAACAAGTCAGATTAGGGCTGACTGTGGTGGGAGTGGTGGGTATGGTTGATGCAGGGCAGGGGCTGATGCACTGGGGGTGGGGGGGGGAGGGGAGGGGGGCAGTGGTGAGTGGCGGGAGGAATTAGGGTGAGAAGAGCAAGGAGGGTAGGCAGGACAGGGAGGACAGGGAAGGCAGGGAGGGCCAGGCAGAGCAAGCAGTGTGGCGAGCACAGCAGCGGTCAGTAGTGGGGTGGTGTGCACAGCGGTGGGTAGCGGTGGGGTTCTGTGTGTTAGCCGGCGCGTGGTAGGGCTGCTGGTGGTGGTGGTGCTGCTGCTGGCCTTATCTGTCTGGCTTAAGTCGAACGGTGGAGGAAGGAGGCCATGGTGTCCACGAGGGAGGAGGAGATAGTGAGATGCAGAGACGGTGAGATGCAGAGATGGTGAGATGCAGAGATGGTGAGATGCAGAGACGGTGAGATGCAGAGATGGTGAGATGCAGAGACGGTGAGAGAGATGCAGTGGAGAACGCAGGCAGCTGCGGTCCAGTACCAGCACCAGCATTGGAACATCAATGTGTTGATGCACGGTCGTGCAGGCTGTGTGATTACTGTGGCTGCGCTGAGAGATCTGCTCGCTCCATTGCCTCCTCAGTTTTGTTTGATTTATCCTCAGGTTTGATCACAACGGTTCGATTCTTCTCTCTTGGCACGCCAGCATGGCTGTGGGTGTGTTCTGGCATGTTGGTGAGGAGGCAACTGGGTTGATAGGCCGGGCATGCGTACATGTTGGTATGCATGTTGAGTGCATGCTGAGCGTGTTGTCTGTGCATTGTGCGACTGCTGCTGTCTGCAGTCTTCTGCTGCTGGAAATTTCTGCACATGGGTGGGGGTTGGTGTTGAAGCTCCTGGAAGCGTATTTCTCAGTCCCTTGGTGTCCTGCCTGCGTCTCAGCAGCATATTTGTGTGTTTGGTTAGCAGCGAAGTTCTGGATTTTAGTAGGCTAGGGGGATGTGCTCAGGCCTGGCTGCGCATGTATGCAGTGCCAGCCAAAGGTATACAGGGTAGAATATGTGCTATGGCTGGGCATCGGGCATGCTTAGACCATATAATTTCTCTGAAAAACAGCCTACTCAGAACAAAATTCATTTTCCAAACTCTCTACAACGCCTAGATATTGAATATTACACAATATTTGGGCGAATGTTTCTTCTGACTATACAGAGAGCTACGAGTGTGCTTGTTTTTCCTTGTTTCTTCAGGTCATGCGCCCCAGTACATTCTCTTGAAGGGCAAGATGATTCGATTTTCTTGCGATATTCAAATGATGTCATCATTACGTGTCCTCCATGGATCCAGCACGGATGGTGCTGCTGGTTTTGGTGGTCATTTCTGTAACCACACGAGAAAATATCAGGAACAAATGCATCTTTCGCGAAACCTTGTGTGGTGTGTGTTCAGTGCTGCTGTGCTGCAGAAGGTGGATGTCCAATTGGAGATATCTCGGTTGCAATGATTTTCCTTTTCCTTTTCGACAGTTGCCAAGGAATTATGGAAAAAAATACACAAGAAACGGAATGATGCCAGTCATCCAGGTTCACATGCTTTGGCGTGTGTCGGTCGGTGCGCTGGATTGCTTTTCAAAGTTAAAATGACGCGGATCACATGGAGCTGACTTGTAACCATTTTATGATTGGTAGAAGTTGGCTTTTCGACTCCCTAAGAGGATTTCCACTTATATTACACGTATTTATACGCTACCCTATTGGAGGTTTGTATTCTAGCCCTGACAAGGTTGGCTATTTCCTTTTGGCAGGAGTCAAAACTCGAGTCACGACTCACGACTGATATGCCACGACACAAGTCTGCCATAGAGTAAATTTGTGACGTGGCCATTCCTGACATCGTTTTCAGTGTGCTGCTGACTTATTCCAAAAATTACGGGAACATTTTTCGCTAGTGATGTGGTAAGACAGTACAAAACTGAATTACAATAATGTTTGGCCAGTTCTTGGGAAAGTTTGGGATGTTTCTGGATTAAAGCTTCGAGACGTAAGCGAAATTCGTGACGTAAATGGAGGGATGTCGCTCGTCCAAGGTCCCACGTGGCGAATTTATCTCTACTTATCTGACGTAATGGCACCTTTACTCCGTCGCTGGCGTGGCGGCCGTTGGCCATTCGTCGTCAGTTGGCCCATTCAAGCTGGGGGAGGCTGCTGCTGAACAGCATCTCTGTCTCGACTCGACATTTGAGTCAGACTGGAAGAGATGATACTGTACAGTGACAAGAGATTGGTCACGCCATTACAAGACCACGCGCAGCACTGCCAGCAGAGATATTCCGCTTGCTCGTTGGAGCAAACGAGCAGAACATTGTGAGCCATAACTTCTTATCCTTGGCGGGATCGTCTATGATTGGTTGAGCACACAAACTGTACACTGATGTGGCGAATGTGGGCCTCTTCACGGGGGAATCTTGCTGGAGCATATGTCTTCTGCCCAGCTGCCTGCAGACTGATGTTACGGCTGGCCGTTTGAGGTGGCATTGAATCGGGACCGCTGACGCGGAGATTCAACAAAGTGAAACTGAAGCGCCAGCGAAGCGGGGAAAAGCTGACGTAGTCCCTGACTCCCTCCCACTTGCCCCGCGCAGTCGAGCGCGCCGAACCCAATCGGCGCAGCAATTTTCATCCCGCTGAGCCCCGCGCTTGCAGCTTCCCCCAACCACACCCCATCCTCCCAGCAACCGCATCTCGCCTGCAATGGCCTCTGGTCTGCCCCTCAACAATGGCAACTCGTTGCTCCCTGCCCTTCCCAATTGGTAATCCCAAATCCTCCCGACGCTTCCCGATTTCCCCCCTTGCCGCACTTCCCGCACCCCAGCAGCACCAGCAGCAGCACAGCAGCAGCCTCAGTTTCCCACTCCACCCTGTCCATCCAACATTCCACGCCACACAGCCTGGTCACGTCTGGGTTTTGGGGGAGTCTGGGTCTAGGCTGGGATGGGAGGTGCATTTGGACAAGAGTTGAAAGATGCACCCGCACGCAACCCTTTCCCTTATTAGTCTAGCCTTCACACGCAACTGCCAGCGCACTTTAGCCGTACAATGCTGCAGTTTGCCACGAAACCCATAATTCTGCCTCGCTTTATCTCCCACGTGAACTGTTTTTCCGTGGACGCAAGCAACCGTTTCTGACAACGATTCTACTTCCCTCCATTCTTTCGCGTTTCCATCTCCTTATTCTGACTTAGTAGTATCGATCCTGTGTTGTAGTCTCAAGAAGCAATTTCTGGTTCTTCGTGAATTTAGAAGTGGCACTATGGGGCTTCCCGTGAGCCACGCTCGTGCTCCCGTCAACGATGCCAATGTTCGCGCCTGGTTGCGAGGCTCCATCGATGACGCAATGTGCGACGTCGCTCACTCGTTACAGTCACAAGCAAACGACATAATGGACACAGATGTCCAGCCCGAGCACACCGCATCGCTCCCAAGATCCTACGGGAGCCATTTCCCATTCAGTATTTCCCGTTTTTTCAGCCGGAAAGGCTCCCGGCGAGCGCTTAATTCGCGGCCCGACCATCCCGATGCGGCGGCGGACCTCGCAAGCGGAAATGGCTCGTTGAGCGCGATGGAGGACGCGGCGGTTCGCCACCACATGAGCTGCATGTCTCCTGAGTGAGTAGGAGTGCTATATTATGCAATGCCTGCGAGTGCAATAATATTCAATGCAATCCCGGCGAGCGCTGTGAGAGCTTCGAGAACGGGTGAGGAAAGTAAATGTTCCTGGTCAGCCTGTAGGTAACTTCCTTTTTTTCTCATTTTTCCAATTCCATGAGAGCCTAGAGGGTGACGTCAGGTCGACGCAGCATCAGTCCGTACCTTGTTTTGAAAGAGTCTTGCCTGACCCATGTCTCTTCCACTCCTTTTCCTCGACCCTCGCTGTCCCTCTTTGCAGCTATGTTGCCAAGAACTACTCGCGGCCCGACGTGCTGCTGCACATGGACCTTCTTAAGGAGGCTTCGGCGCTTAAAGAGGGCGTGCCTGCGCTGCGGCTTGACATGCGCGCGACCGACAGCGGCGATTCGACGACAACAGGAGACGAGAGCGAAACGGACGACTCGTCGATTGGCGGGTTTTCGTTATCGTCGGTGGACGACGTTTCGTGCACGGGCATCATGAACATCAGTTTCGCGTGTAGCGTGCGTGTCTGTAAGCGGAGCTTGACCGCGGCCTTCCAGCGCACGGGCGTCCGCGTTTTAGATTGCTCCTTGTTTCGAACAGTACACGGGTACACGCTAGGATTTTTCACCGTGCGAGCGGCTATATCGCAGATATCGAAGCGGCAAATAGAGGAGTTATTTACAGTCGCCGGCAAGCAGGCCTCGCGACCCCGTTCCGCCACGTCCATTCCGACCACAATCCGCAAGTGCCAGACAGAACAGTCCACGTCATCGCTCGATAGACTAACCCTAATTCCCGACGGTGCGGCGCGGAAGCCACCCCCTAGTCCACGTCTCACGACTCGAGCCCCTTCGTCGAAGAGCGTCGCAGGCGACGCTAACGACCTCCTGCAGGTGTTACTCTTCAACAGCCGCAGCGCGTTGAACCAATTCAGCGAGTTCCTCCTCAACCCGCTCAAGCTCGAAATCGGCGCGCTTATCGCCGTGGGCGCGTCGGGCGAGGTGCGCCGCGGCAGCTACGAGGGAAAGGCGGTGGCTGTGAAGATAATGAAGGGTGACACTATCGATCGCCACGCCAGCGCGACGGAATTCCGGCAGGAAGTGCAGACGCTCATGTCGTGCGACGAGTGCCCGCGACTGCTCGAGTTCGTCGGCGTGTGCCTCGACACGCGCCGTCGCATGTGCATCGTCACGCGACTCATGGAAGGCGGCACGCTCAGCGACCTTGTGCGACGTCGCCACGGCGAGAGGCTCCCGCTCGGCGACGCGCTGCGAATCGCACACGACGTCGCAGAAGGCATGGCGTTTCTCCACGGGCGTGGCGTGATTCATCGCGACCTGAAATCCGCCAACGTCCTCCTCGATTCCGCGGGCCGCGCCGTCGTCGGCGATTTCGGCGTGGCTCTGCTGAAGGGGGAGCGCGGCGACATGACTAAGGAGGTCGGAACTTACCGTTGGATGGCGCCCGAAGCGTTCGGTACGAGCGCGTGGCACGTGACGCACAAGAGCGACGTGTACAGCTTCGGAGTCGTGCTCTGGGAACTCGTCGCGTGTCAGTTACCGTTTGAGGATTATACTCCGTTACAAGCAGCGGTGGCGGTGGCGCTTAACGGGTTGCGGCCGATGATTCCGGCGGATTGCCCAGCGGGACTGCGGAGGCTGATTGAGCGGTGTTGGGATAAGTGCCCCGAGGCGCGCCCTGAGTTTGACGAGGTCGTGAAAGAAATCGCGGCGCTGCAAGAGCAGTTTTGTCCGGGGACGGCTGTATCTGGACAATAGAGCCAAGGCAAGCACTGGCGCGACTGACTGATCGTTCCCTAAGGTGGAGACTGCTTGCCTACGGTGGAACATAGTTCTTGGACCAGCTGTGGTGATTTTCCTGCTGCTGATGCTCCCTGACGATGCTGAGGAGGTGGAGCACCGTGTGGGAAGAGTGAAGCTCACAGCATGGGCGCAAGCCTTGTGAGCAGGACGCTGTCACATCGTGCTGAAAAGGAGCTGGTGAAGCGCGGATGACGAGATGTGCTTGTACAGAGGACAGTAAGCATAGATCACCGAGACTGGGCTGCTTTCAGTTTAGTGTGCTTCTCACATGCATTTTTTTTCAGCTCAGAAGGTTATACAGAGTATAATGGTGGTCTTTGTAGGTAGCAGTGGTGTGGAGATGCACACAAGTGCAGACGCCGATGTACAGAGTCCGCCACGACAAGCCTGGTGGAGATAAAGCAGAATTGTAATTAGCCGCCTAATGCTGAGGTCATTCCCACATGGCAGCCTTTTAGTGAGCTCCATTTCGTACTTTCCTTGTGTGCATCTCTGCCTTGAATCGTTTCTGTGTGGCTCCTCAACAGCGTTCTTCAGTAATTTGCATGTAGTGGACTAAATGTTGAGCTCATCAGTCAAAAGTGTAAATACAGATGGTCGTTGAATGGGAAAACTTACGGTAGCGTTGTGAACACCGCTGATCCCCCAATTGTCTCGAGGCATGAAGATCTCACACTAGTTCTGTACCGGGGATGATTTCAGCATCCTCAATCTCTGGAGATTGACGAGACGGATTGGTGGTTTAGAACTTAGTACCCATGTGGCTGACCACGTGGTTAGGAGAGAAATGCCTGCTGCGCTCCAAATTTCGGCTGGGAATTTGTCTGACGCAAGTTGGCCTCATATCGCCGTGTCAAAAAGCCGATGCCGTATGCTGAGTTGCCAGGTGGAAAATTTATCGTGTGCTGCGCGTGGTCGCCGCCGAAATGAGAGCACGATGATTTGTCGTAAAACCACGGAGGCAAGTTTGGGTTTAGCGGAGGCAGCAATGCAGTGTGGGACGGATGACTGGGCTTGGTTCGAAGTTTGGTGTGGTTCGAAGCTGGGGAATGAGGCTGCGCTGGGTCCGAACCTCGTACCAGACATCCCGTTTCATACAAACCACAGGTCCCTCAGCCTCTGACACGTCTTTCTCCCCGAGCGGATAAGTATAGGTACGGTAGAGCCCAAACTAGCGCGCAAACCCACAACCCCTGGGCCCCGGGCCAGTCAGCTTCTGTTTGGCGGAGTCGCAGATTTCTGCCCAACCAGCGTCCCCGCAGACCCGCGCCAGTCTCCCGCCATCCGCATCCCGCTGGCCCTGACTTTCCCCGCCTGAACCGACTGTCGCGCGCACCTCATTTCCGCTCGCTTCTGCTTCAAGCGCGCACCTCTCAGTAGCTTGCCAACCAGCCCCATTCACTGCCAGCCAGCCATGGCTGCTCTGCAGTTCGCGTCCTCTGCTATCGTGCTTCGATTGCGAGTTTCCATTCAAGTACAAGTCTCCTTGACGTGCTTTTATGAATTCATTCCTGTGATAGAGCCGTTGCTTCGTTGTCCTTCAAGCTCCAGAGTTCGCTCTCGTCGCTTCCTTGCTGATCATTCTGACATCGCTCAGTCTATTATATTCCATCTGCAGCATTTTGTATTAGCTCTCTCGCGTATATATTTATTCCTGTGCCAATCGCAACGTCAGTTTCCACTTGGCGCTGCTCAGCCATTGCCGTCTCTTCCATTGCGATCATGGCATCTCTGCGACAATGTATATCGCCGGCGATTGCACCAATTCACGACCCAGCGCTTTCGTCGTCTCGAGATCATCAAGCCACCCTCCATACGCCATTCTTTGGCCTCTCATTGACCAATGTCCCGCAACCGGGAAGATTACACGTGTCCGTTCCCACCGCAGTTGGCGCTGTCGTCTCCTCGCAGCACCTCACAATCACCGCGAAGGCGAATTCGAAGCATCAGGAGCATCAGCAACCGTCGAAGAAGACGGGATCGACGACCAAGATGGCTTCTCGCCGCCAGACGAACACCCGAGTCGCAGTTCAGGGCTACCAAGGCGGTAACCGGACGGAAGGCGACGCGTCGTCGGACGAGGACGCGACGCGCGCGGAGGATCTGCGCGACGCGCTGAAGGAGGCGCAGTTCGTGCGGTGGTTCCGCGAGGCGTGGCCGTACATTCAGGGCCATCGCGGTAGCACGTTCGTTATCGTCGTTCCCGGGGACGTCGTCGCGAACCGTCAGATCTTCGACTCCATCCTGCAGGTTCGATCCCGGATCCCTCGAATGTGAACAATCAGGGAGTTTTCATGCTCCCCGTTATAGAAACGAATGTTAATCGAATGGCCTGACCCGATCTTGCAGTTTCGACCTCGGATCGCCAGAATGTGAACAAACAGGGGTTGCTGTCTTGCTTCCCGTTGTAAGAACGAATGTGAATAACACGACCTGGTTTGATCATGCAGGTTCGACCCTGGGTCCCTCGAATGTGAATCGACAATCAACCCAGCTCTCCCTGCTCCGTCTCCTCTTCACCTCCGCCCCACCATCCCCCCTCCACCCCCCTTACCCCCCCTTCGGTTCCCCCCCTTGCAGGATGTAGCGTTGCTGCACGGCTTGGGAGTGCGCATCGTGCTCGTGCCGGGGAGCCACGTGCAGATTCAACCATTCCCCCCTCCTCTTCACCTCCGCCTTCCCCTCCCCCCCTCCCACCCTTCCCTACCTCTCCCCGCCCCTTCCCCCGCTTGGTTTCCCCACATCAGGACGTCGCGTTATTGCACGGGCTGGGCGTGCGCATCGTGCTCGTGCCGGGGAGCCACGTGCAGATCAACGATCTCCTGGAGGAGCGCGGCGTCGCGTCCGTGTTTCACGGCGCGTATCGCGTGACGGACACGGAGGCGCTGGCGGCGGCGATGGAGGCGTCGGGGCGCACGCGCGTGGACATCGAGGCGAAGCTGTCGCGCGGCCCGGTGATCCCGGTGCTGCGAAGGCACGGCGAGAGCGAGAAGTGGCACGAAGTGGGCATCAGCGTCGCCAGCGGCAACTTCGTGCACGCCAAGGTGGGGCGCGGTTGCGTGCGGTTGGATGGAATGGCAAGGTCACTGTAACCTGACACGCTTTTCTGCGCCATTGCATCACCCCTCCTCACTTTCTGTCGCCAAAAACCGCGTTCTCTGTGTTCTGTGCGGTTCCGTGCGGCTATATGCGGTGGTGAGCAGCGGCGGGGCGTGGTGGGCGGCGTGGATTACGGGGCGACGGGCGAGGTGAAGCGCGTGGACGTGGCGCGCATCAGGAGCCGCCTCGACAGCAGCTGCGTGGTGCTGCTCAGTAACCTTGGGTTCACCCCGGCTGGCGAAGTGCTTAACTGCAAGTGAGTCGTGTGCTCTATGCTGCTACTCATTCGTTGGTAGCACCACGTGCTCCTCCTGCCTTCCCTCCACAGCACAGCAGCTGCGTCGCGCTGCTCAGCAACCTTGGGTTCACCCCGGCCGGCGAAGTGCTCAACTGCAAGTGAGTGCCGCGCTACTCATTCGTTAGTAGCACAAGCTGATCTGCCTACAGGACGGCGCAGTCACGGACAACCGCGAACGGCTGATCCGTGGCTCACTCAACACACCCACTCTCCCGCCTTCCCCTCCTCTCTCGTCCTGTCCACTCCTATCCCGTCCCTTTTGGTCCCTTCCTGCCCCTCGCAGCACGTACGAGGTCGCCACAGCGTGCGCCATAGGCCTTGGAGCGGACAAGCTCATCTGCTTTTGTAACGTCTCCCTCCCCTCTTCCTCCCATCCCCTCATTGCCCCTCCCCTCTTTTCCCCACGCAGCACATACGAAGTAGCCGCGGCGTGCGCCATAGGCTTAGGCGCGGACAAGCTGATCTGCCTTCTGGACGGCGCAGTGGCGGACAACCGCGGGCACAGTGATGCATGACCTGCACCCACTTCTTCCCCCACTCCATCCCTCGCAGCACGTACGTGGTGGCTACAGCGTGCGCCATAGGCCTGGGGGCGGACAAGCTGATTCTCCGTGCCCCTCCCCTCTTCCTCCCATCCCCTCGTTGCCCCTCCCCTCTTTTCCCCCTCGCAGCACGTACGAGGTCGCCACGGCATGCGCCATAGGCCTGGGGGCCGATAAGCTCATCTGCCTGCTGGACGGCGCAGTGGCGGACAACCGCGGGCGGCTGATCCGCTGGATGACGCTGCAGCAGGCGGATGTGATTATAAGGAACCGCGCCACGCAGAGCTATGCTGCCGCGGAGTACGTTAAAGCGGTTGCCGGGGAGGAGTATATTAGGAGCCTCGGGCTCGTCGGCGCGCAGGGCGCGGGGGGCGCGGAGGGGGAGGGCGCGGGGGAGGGGAGGCGGAAGAAGGGGAAGCGGGGGAAGAAGAAGCGGGAGGAGGGGTGGGGGGAGGGGGCGAGGGGAGGGGGGGGAGGGGAAGGAGAGGAGGAGGAGGAAGAGGAGGAGGAGGTAGCAGCGAGTATGGAGAGATGGAAGGCACAGCGGGCGCTGTATAGCATGAGCTTTGAGAAACCTGGTCCGCCCCTCCCCACGTTCAGTGGAGCGCGAGAGGGGAGGGACGTGCGGAGCGAGAGGGGGAACGGCAGGGGCAATGGCGCGGGCGCGGAGGGGCTGGGCGCGCGGGAGAGCTGGGGGAATGGCGGTTTGGCGGAGGCGGGGTTTGGGGAGAGTGCTGCGCGGGGTTGGGGGGGGAATGGGGGGGGTGGCGCGGCGGGGAGGGCGGAGGAGAGGCGGGGGTTCGCGGTGGGCGGAGAGGAGCGGTCGGTGCATCGATATGGATTCCTGTCAGAGCTCACTGCTGCTGTTTATGCTTGCCGGGTGAGTGGGGAGAGATGCTGGATGAATGATGGGTGACGGGTGGGTGGGGTTTGCAGTGGGTGGAGAGGAGCGGTCAGAGCAGAGGTACCGGTTCCAGTCAGAGCTTACTGCTGCTGTGTATGCTTGCCAGGTGAGTGAAGTGATGTGCTGGGTGAATGATGGGTGGCGGGTGAGTGGGGACGCTGCTGTATTGCGCCCCTCATAAGTGCTCTTAACCCCTCACCATCTCTCTCCATCCCTTTCTGATCGCAGGGCGGGGTGCGGCGGGTGCATCTATTGGACAGTGCAGTGGAGGGCACGCTGCTGCTGTGTGCCTCTGACCCTCGTCACCCCTCTTCACCCCTCTGTACTCCCTTGCTAACAGGGCGGGGTGCGGCGGGTGCATCTACTGGACAGTGCAGTGGAGGGCACGCTGCTGCTGGAGCTGTACACACGGGACGGCGTGGGTACCATGGTCTCCAGGTGAGGGGGGAGTCTAGTTTTGAGGCGCCTCAAAACTAGTGTCCAAGTGAGGGGGGAGCGAGGGGTTGTCGAGGTGAGGGGAGGGATTGGCAGGTGGGATTGGCACACGTGCCCTGTGCTGTGGTCGTGCATGGAGCTTTCTACACTCGGGACGGCGTCGACACCATGGTGTTCAGGGGTGCAGTACGGTTTTTGCGTGGGCTTGAAAGACGGGACAGCACATGAGCCAAGGCAACATGAGCACAATATATAACATTTTTTAGGCGCCTTAAAAGACGGTACAGCACGTGAGCCAAGGCAACACACAATACATAACGTGGGGAGTGATTCTGCGTTGCGTTGGCTCATGTGCTGTCCAAACATGTAGACTGATTCTGGTCTTCCTCCTCCATCCATTCCCGCTTGTCCCCCTCCCCCTCCCCCTCCCCCTCCCCATACACCCCTTTCCATACACAGCAATCTGTACAATGGCATGCACGTGTAGACTCACATCACCTACTTATGATCCCCTACCTCCCGCTCCTCACTCCGTCCCCTCCCTGTTCCTCCCCCCCCCCACCCTTTACAACAGTGATCTATATGAGGGCACGCGGGCGGCGCAGGTGTCGGACATGCCCGGCATCAGAGCGCTGCTGGAGCCCCTGGAGGCCGCTGGCGTGCTGCTTCCTAGAGGGGACGAGCAGGTGAGCAGGCCTTGACTTTATTCGACTTGGCTTGAGTCGGTTTTGTGCCCCTCTCTCCTCGGCAGCAGGTGTCGGACATACCCGGCATCAGAGCGCTGCTGAAACCCCTGGAGGCCTCTGGCGTGCTGCTGCCCCGGGAGGAACGAGCAGGTGAGGGGGAAGGATGTGAGTGTGAGTGTGTTGTTGTGAGTGGATATAAAGGGAGAACGTCAGCAACAACAGAGCGTGTGAAATTTGGCAAATATCCCTCCTCAACCTCACACTCATCTTCCTCGCACTGTCCCTCCTTGCTTTGTCCTCCCCCTCATTGCACTACCAGCTGCGCCGCGAGCTCCCGATCTTCACGGTGGTGGAGAGGGACGGCCACACCATAGCCTGTGCACTCGTGCTGATGATTAGACTAGTCAATCACAGTCACCTTCCGCCATTATTCTCCCACCCCACATCGCCTCACTACCAGCTGCGCAGGGAGCTCCCGTTCTTCACGGTGGTGGAGAGGGACGGCCACACCATTGCCGGCGCTGCGCTCATGCTGATGATGTGCTCATCGCACACCACACACTCATACTCCACTTCCACCATCCTCCATCCACCCCTCCTTGCCCTCAGCTGCGCAGGGAGCTCCCATTCTTCACGGTGGTGGAGAGGGACGGCCACACCATAGCCTGTGCGGCGCTCTTCCCCTTCCCCTCCGCGCGCATGGCTGAGGTTGCTGCCTTTGCCGTCTCGCCTGCATCACGGGGCAATGGGCGCGGGGACAACCTGCTGGGTGAGTGGTGGGCGTGACAACTTTTTAGGTGTGTGCTGTGCTGTGCTGTGCTGTGGCATGAAAGGGCGTTTTTCCCCTTCCCCTCTGCCCGCATGGCTGAGGTCGCTTCCTTTGCCGTCTCGCCTGCATCACGGGGCAATGGGCGCGGGGACAACCTTTTAGGTGAGCAGTGGGAGTGTTGAGCTAACAGGTGCGTACTGCGTTTGCTGTGGCGTGAAAAGGCCATGGAAAGCGCGTGGATAGGCCGCTCTTCCCCTTCCCCTCCGCGCGTATGGCTGAGGTCGCTGCCCTTGCTGTCTCTCCTGCATCGCGAGGGAATGGGCGAGCCCTTGTCACCCCGCTTCCCCTGCTCTCCCTTCAACCTCCTCTCCCCCCTTGGCAGCATACTTGGAGGAGCTGTTTCTTCCCTCCCATCATCTCACCTTCCCTCCCATCATCTCACCTTCCCTCCCATCATCTCACCTTCCCTCACATCATCTCACCTTCCCTCCCATCATCTCACCTTACCTCCCATCATCTCACCTTCCCTCCCATCATCTCCCTTTCCCTCTCCCTCCCCTCTGGCAGCATACTTGGAGAAGCGGGCAGTGGACATGGGCATGGAGAAGCTGTTCCTCATGACCACACGCACTGCCGACTGGTGAGTGCGGAGGCAGTTTGGACGAGTCTGGGGTCGTGTGAGTGTGTGGGAATGCGTGCAGCAGAGCGGGCAGTGGACATGGGCATGGAGAAGCTGTTCCTCATGACCACACGCACTGCTGACTGGTGAGTGGGTGAGGGGAGAGGGGGGATGGAAGAAGCAGGGGTGGTGTGAAAGTGTGTGGATGCTTGCAGATGAGATGATGGTGAGCAGTGGCCATGGGCATGGGCATGGGCATGAAGAAGCTGTTCCTTATGACCACACGCACTGCCGACTGGTGAGTGCTGAGGGGGATGCTGGTAGGGGTGGTGTGAGAGTGTGTGGATGACTGATGGAGAGGTGGTGATGGGCATGGGCATGGAGAAGCTGTTCCTCGTGACCACGCGTACAGCCGACTGCTGAGTGGATGGGACACTGGGGAAGAAGATGCAGCTCGGGCTGGCTTCGGCTGGCGCCTTCCGATAGGTGATGAGTGTTGGGACATTTCAAAGGAAGGCTTATCAGCGGTAATGGTGAGAGCTGTGCTGGCCAATGCACGCCCTCTCTTCCACACACCCACGGTCTCCTCTGCCACTTTCCTCCTCCTTCCGTGGTTCTGTGTGCTGCTGTGAGCCGCCTAACCAGCCCATGTCCACTCATCTCTTCGCGTTATTCTCCATGCCTCTCATGATTCGCCCCCGTGCCTGCAGGTTCGTGCACAGGGGGTTTGCCCCGTGTGACCTGGAGAGGCTACCGGAGGAGAAGCTGAAGAAGGTCGACCGCAGCCGTGGCTCCAAGAGCTTTGTGAAGGACCTGGAGGTGAGCGACGAGGAGGATGCGGATAGCGATGAGGAGTGGGACGACGCGGGGTTGCCAACCGACCTTCCCAAGTATTCTTAGGGTTGAGGACTGGTGGAGGTAGCAGCCAAGGGGGGTCAGCAGCTTTGAGTGATGGGGAGGGCGCGGACAGCGATGAGGATAGGGACGATGACGGGTTGCCGTCCGACCTTCTCAAGTACTCTTAGGGTGGAGGAGTGTTGGAGGTGGTGAGGACAGGAGTATATAGCAGCCGGTGGGGGCTTAACAGCTTTGTGAAGGACCTGGAGGTGAACGAGGATGAGGATGATGACGGACCTTCCCAAGTTTTCCTAGGGGGGGGTAGTGGTGATGATCAGGGCTCAGGAGCTGGGTTGCATGAGGACGTGGCTAGCACGAGCACTCATGGGCGGCTTGAGTCGTCACGTGGTGCCGTGCCTGGTGCTAGCTTTGTGAAGGACCCGGAAGTGAGTGACGAGGAGGATGCGGACAGTGAGGAGGAGTGGGACGATGTGGGATTGCCGACCAACCTTCACGAGTATTCTTAGGGTGGTGGAGTTGTGGGGTGGTCAGGACAGGAGTGGCCAGCACGAGCACTGAGGAGATGGCCAGCACAAGCACTGAGGTGGAAGGGGCTGGAGGTGAGCGATGAGGTGGATGGAGTGCCGACCGACTTTCCCAAGTATTTTTAGGCTGGAGTGATGGTGACAATCAGGAGTGGGTTGCAGCCCATGGGGCAAGAGCTGTGAGAAGGACATGGGGATGAGGGATGAGGAGGATGCGGGACAGTCACGATGAGCGGGATGATGCCGGCTAGCCGACCGATCTACATTAGTATTTTTGGGCAGGGGTGGTAGCGGTGTACGTCGGGAGCTGGCTTTGCCTAAAAGTGCAGTAATCACTTTTACGGCATGTACGTCTTTGTGCTTAGGTGCTGAGATGGCAATAAGGTGTCCTATAATATCAAAAGCACCATATATTAGAAGTAATAGCACGAATGAAGCAGCCGGGGGAGTCAAGTGGTTAGTGGAGCTTTGTATGACGCTGCAAGCATTGTATTTTCCCTAATGAAGGGTAATGTTATTTAAGCATAATTTTGATGGAATGTGCACCCTTTTCGATCCCTTAGTATGCTTGTAGTGCAGCAAGTTTGGTTGCGGCTTGGCCGGTTGTTTTATCTTGGCGATTGTGGTTGGTTGGTGGATGCAAAACCATACGGGACGAGAGGAGTTGGGGTCTGGTCTGGTGTGGTGTGGGGAGGTGGTGTGAGTGCCACTGTATTCTGGAACGTCCCTGCCGCGCACAATTGGCGAAACAGCTGCGTTCAACGGAGAGCCGTTTCAACGCAGATAACGAGAAACCAATCAGAACTCGAAGAACTCCCACCTCGTGGCGCAGCGGTGGGGATCGGGCTGAGTTGGAGTGTACGTACGAGCTAGCATAACAATTCAAAAGAAGTTCTTTGAGGTTCCCCACAGGATCTTAGTATACCAATGGGATGAAGATGTTACAGATATGGAACTAAGCACTTGCGCTGAAACACCAACAAATGTTGGTTGTGGTGTGGTAGCATCCACTTTGAAAGTACAGTCGATGCTCAGCCTAACACAAAAAAATTGCTCCTCACAATTAGAAATTTAGTCACTCGTGAGGGTTTTGCCCGTGAGTGACTAAATTGACAATTCTGCCGATTTCGGGGTATAGTCACCAACTTGCGGAAGAAAAACATCTACAGTTCATAAACAACAACGGTTGCCCGTCATCAGAAAAGTTTACCTGGTTACGAAGTTAAAGCCCGTGTCTCGATTCACATTGCAATTTCATATTACAGTCACATTTTTGCCCGTGGCGACAAGGGCGAATGTGGCGAAAAGCTTGAAACACGTTTCACTCACATGCCTCCCGCCTACCTGGTGTTCTTGAAATGAGCACCGACTGTACAAAACCTCAAGAGAGATATAAGTTGACTTTGTATGCTTGGTGATGCGAGGGTGCTTTTGAAACGAGTTGAGCTGTGTCTATCTGTGCTGGTCAGTGGAGGAGTTCGTTACTTGCGGACAAGGTTGGTTTGCCAAATGGCCTGGCCTCAGTGATTCCTTCGAACGACCTCCTCGAAACACTCAAGGTGGCTACTGGTGAAATCCCAACTTGCCACCGTTTTCATGGATCAATGGATCGCAGCGCATACCGTTCGGCTCATCGACTCGCGGCTCGCTTCAAATCGCATGACGGGTCGCAGGTTTGGATTGGTCTCGCAAATCTTCAGACTCCGCCGGTCCTTACGCAGCCATCCGTAGACATTGTAGGGTGGTTTGACCCTGGTGAACTTCCAAAATTTGCTCGCGTGAATTATGGGCTGTGTTCCACTGCAGGGAAACGACGTTTACAGCGAACACTGAAAAATCTTCATAACGTTTAGTGCGACTTACGACTGTACTGGGCTGCCGTGTTTGATCGGTTCGCAACGGGATAATCTGAAAAACGGCGAGGGCCAACCATCTTCCCCTCCCCACCTTCTCATGCATGTCACATTGCACCGCGAAACTCCCATCTTCCCCTATCAGCCGTCGATGCTAATTCCCGATGATTCATCGGAGGGCAGTGATGACGCGAGCAAGAGCTCGGCGTGCAACCACATCCATCCATCAGCGGGCTTGGCACCTTTCAAGTCACCCAACCGAGCTTCACTCTGCCACACACGCTCCCCCTCTCTGGGGCTCGAATTCTGGGCAGTAGCTGATGACTCCACCACCCCACAGCTGCTGTATTGTAAAGCTCGAGCCGATCTTTAGAAAGTCATTTATTCGACGCCGTCCGCAAGATATCTTCAAGTGCGGTCTGGGCTGTTAGAGTACGAGCCTACTTCGTGGTTAGCGACAGAGTAGTGCAGACATTAGGGGGCTCAGATAAGCGCTTAGCACAACCTCAGGAGCCTTAGCGCCAGGCAGAAGCGGCAGCATGAGCACCATGAGCAAGCTCGAAAAGTTCCGCCCGCCATCGCTCCAACTACCTGATGACCTCGATTCCTCCGCCGCTTCGCTCTCTCGCTCCAAGAATCCCCACCCTCTCCTACCAGCTCAGCCGGACCTCGCCCTCACGAAGGTCCGATCACCCGCCACGGCAGCCGCGCGCAATCCCAAGCGCATCGTGCTTCAGCGCTGCCACGTATGCAATCTGTTATCCATTCCGCCCTGTCGCACGTGCCACCTCTTCCTCCCCAGTTCGTTTCCTCTCCAAACCGTCGCTTCCGCCCACCCATCGTCTTCGCAACTCGTCTCGTCACGCCCCTCACATCTGGACCAAGGTAGTAGCAACAGCAGCGACATCGTCGATTTCGCGACGTGGCTGGATATCCGCAATTTGCCGTGTCGCATGATGGAACTCGCCATGACTGGCTACTCGTCCAGCTCTCCGCCTTCCCATTCCATTGAAGGCAATCATTATTTCGAACCGCGAGGGCGTCCGAGCGGCAAGTGCGGCGAAAATTCGCTTCTTGGGGAAGAAAGCAGGGGATATGAGGCAGCTGCGCATGGGGAGTATCGCAAGCCGGGCGGGAGCGGAGCCAAGAGCGTGCCGAGCGGGTGGACGGCTGCGCGCGCCGCCGCTGCGGGAAGCGCGTGGGAGCTTCATTCTCTGTGGGAGTGGGCGGGACAGATGCTGACGTGGCCGCCGCAGGTCGAGCAGTCGCAGCAATCGCAGCAGCTGTCGTATACTCGCTCTCTGCGACATACGGTCACGGCGCCCGCGCGGCTCACGAATGAGACATCTCACCCTAGCGACGGTGAGGCTGCGACGGTGCAGGCGAGCCGAGGAGGCGCAGTCACGTCGCCCAATCACGCGGCTGGCAAATTAACGGCTGGATCTGACAACGCGGTGCGAAGGGAGGAAGGGGAAGCGACAAGCCCCATCATCTTGTGGCTAGAGGAAGCAAGGAATCTGTTTCTTGGAGAGGGTGATCCGTGGAGGAAGTTACCCCGAAATGGGTGGGGAAATGTCCATGGAAGCAGCGTAGCACACAGTGCGGCTGGATGCGGTGCAACGCGGTGCAGGACAAGTGTTTCGTTGAATGGTCGCACAGCGCATGTGCAGTGATCCCTGCTCGGGGAGGTGTGAGAACTTGGGGTAAGATGGATGTAAATGAGGGGATGGATGCTCACAGGTGGAGGAAGAATGCACCCACCGCATATCTCAATCTGTGGGTATGCAAGCTGATACATATAGGTATACGCAGTCACATACATACACATGCATGTGCAAATGCATGGATAGAATATAACTGTTGGGCAAATAACGGAGGTGAGGCCTAGTTGAAGGCAGAAATGTGCAAGCTTAGGTAAAATGTCGCATTTGTTCACCACATTGGTGGCTGTAGGTTCTGGAGGCACAGTTGTTTGCAATCACATTCATGTATCCGCTTTTGTCTATACTGAATTACAATTTCGTGAAATTATGGTAGAGTGGTTTTTAACTCCTGATATCATTGGGAAATGGTTAGCGAAGTTAGCGTGTGTGTACACCTCATTTAACTGTACGTTCATCTCTCACCCACTATCGGACCACTTCCCTCAGATCTGTCAACCTCACCTCGCCAAAACCCACTTCGCCTTACCCCACCTCGCCTCACCCAATTCGTCTTTCAATCATATTTCAGATTCAGGTCGGCTCCCGCTGAGAGCTCCAAGGCCTTCCCTTCCATCGTTGCTCGTCGTGAGAAGTTTGATTCAGTTTTCTGGGAATCCAGTTTTTCTGGTTCAGGCAGGATTCAGGCTTCCCTTATTCCGTCGTCGTTTTTCACAGATCTCGCGCTTGATTTATCTGGTTTGACGTCGAAGGAGCCGCCATGGCGTTAGCTTTCGATGAGTTCGGTCGGCCGTTTATAATCATACGCGAGCAGGAGACCAAGTCGCGCGTGAAGGGTCTCGCGGCGCAAAAGGGTAACATCCTCGCCGCCAAATCTGTCGCGAAGATTCTCCGCAGCTCGCTCGGGCCCAAGGGAATGGATAAGATGCTTCAGAGCGGCGATGGCGACGTCACTATAAGTACGCAGATTTATTATTTGTCAGGCAGACGCAATCTTATCCAAGCAGATGCAATAGATCTTCCAACATAAGCCAAATCAAATCGGATCTGCCTTTTGGAAGCAGATCGGCGGTTCGTTTCCAGTGAATTCTCCTCGTTCTTCTTAGCAGCTGCACTTTCCCCAGTCACTGCCATTATGGCGGCGATTCTGCGACAGATGGAGGTAGAGAACCGCGACGGTGGACCTTTTCGATCAATTCCCGATTCCTCCCAGTCCCCCCACTCCTCCCATTCTCTGCAGTCTCTCGTTTTCCACCAGCAAACGACTTCGCGGCGACGATTCTGGAGCATATTGAGTCGGAGGACCAACGTGCATACGCTGATATTTTCACACACATCGAAACCCGATTTATTTTCAGCGACGACTGGATTCCCGTCCCCTGACGCCTTCCGAATATCCACTTCCCGCATACCGTCAGATGATCTAACGACAGACGGCATGACAATTCTGGAGCAGATGGAGGTGGAGGCGCGTCGAAACCCGATCCGTCCCCAATGCCCTGATGCCTTCCAAACCCAATCTCCCGTTCCCTCTACCCCCCCTGCACAGCGAACGACGGCGCGACGATTCTGGAGCAGATGGAGGTGGAGAACCGCGTGGGGCGGCTGATGGTGGATCTGTCCAAGAGCCAGGACTTCGAGATCGGCGACGGCACCACCGGCGTCGTCGTCACTGCCGGCGCGCTGCTCGAGCAGGTGCGTGCCGGCGTACACGTGTGTGTGCGCAAGCAGGTATGCGCCAAGGAGGATAAAGTCAGTCTCGTCCCGTCAAGGACGCGCTGCTAAAGCAGGTGCGGGCGTGTAGCGCGAGCAGGTCTACGCGCGGATGAATGGGAGGACGACGTGAATCTTTCCGTCAAGAGCACGTCTGGCTTGTTTGTCTTCTTGCGGCGCTGTACTCGATCTCCCCCTTTGATTTTACGGAGTTTTCGCTCACGAGTCATGCTCGCTTCTTCCTCCCGTTTTGCCTCCTCAATCGACCTTTCCGTACTCTCATTCCACACCCCAGGCCGGGGCGCTGCTCGATTGCGGGTTCCACCCGATTTGCGTGGCATCCTCACTACTTTCCTCTGCCCGTTTCCTCCTTGCCCGCTCAACCAACCCCTCGACCCCAGGCGGAATCTCTGCTCGACTGCGGGATCCACCGATCCGCGTGACGGAGGGCTACGAGATGGCGTCCAAGATCGCACCCACGCATCCTCTTTCGTTGTTTCTGCCCCCCGCTCGACCCCCTCAATCCATCCCTCTTCATATTCGTTCCACCCGTTGCCAGGCCAAGTCGCTGCTCGACCGCGGGATCCACCCGATCCGCGTGGCGGAGGGCTACGAGATGGCGTCCAAGATCGCCCCACTCATGCTCTTGCCGTGCCTCTGCGCCCTGTGTCACCCTCAATCCACCCCTCACAGGCGGAAGCTCTTCTCGACCGCGGCATCCACCCCATCCGCGTGGCGGAGGGCTACGAGATGGCGTCCAAGATCGCGGCGGCGCATCTGGATGCGATCGCGGAGACGTTCGAATTCTCCAAGGATAACTTCGAGCCGCTTGTGGAGACGTGCATGACCACTCTCTCCTCTAAGATGTGAGTCGGCTGATGAGATGTAGGAGTGTGATGCTGAGTGTACGCGTGGTTGCGGTGGTTGCCGCAGGGCGTGCGATCACAGGGCTTGCAATTGCAGAGACGTTCGAATAATCCAAGGACAACTTCGAGCCGCTCGTCGAGACGTGCATGACCACGCTCTCCTCCAAGATGTGAGTGGGCTGCTGTTAGGTGCAGGTGAGCTTGTCACACGGCGGTTCTTCACAGGCCGTTTGATCACTGAGAAAATTGATTTCTCCAAGGGCGATTTCGAGCTGATCGTCGAGACGTGCATGACCACTCTCTCCTCCAAGATGTGAATGTGATGCTAGATGTGCTGCCTGCCTGCTAGATGTGCTTGTAACGAGTGGATAGCCATGTCCTTATTCAGCCATCACCACCTCCCGCGCCCGTACTTCCATTCCTCCCATCCGCACATGTAGCGTTGTCTGCTGCAAGCAGCAGATGGTGGAGAGAGCGGGCGCAGAGGGTGCTGGCAGTGGCGGTCTTTGCAGTGTCCCCCTTCGTCCCCCCGTTCCCCCCCCCCTCCCCCTGTCCCCAGCGCCGTTCCCTCCATTCTTCAAACCAGTGTGGGGCGCTGCAAGAGGCAGATGGCGGACATTGCATTGCAGGCTGTGGCAGACTCACAAAGTCCCCTTCACCCATCAACCCCCCTCCCAACCCCCTCTTCCTTCTCCCCTTCCCCCGTTCTCCTGCGCCCTTCCTTCCATTCCCCAACGCAGCGTTGGGCGCTGCAAGAGGCAGATGGCAGAGATCGCAGTGCAGGCTGTGCTGGCAGTAGCAGACTTGGAACGCCGTGACGTGAATCTGGAGCTGATCAAAGTGGAGGGCAAGACGGGGGGGCGGCTGGAGGAGACGGAGCTCGTCCGAGGGATTATCGTGGACAAGGACTTCAGCCACCCTCAGATGCCCAAGCGGATTGAGGACGCCAAGATTGCGATTCTGACGTGCCCGTTTGAGCCGCCCAAGCCCAAGACGAAGCATAAGGTTGACATTGACACGGTGGAGAAGTATGAGCGGCTGCAGGAGTCGGAGCGGAAATACTTCGACGATATGGTGCAGCAGTGCAAGGTGAGAGGGTGGGGGGCGAGAGAGAGGGCTAGGGACGGGGGGAGGGGAGGGTGCGGGGGGAAGAGCTGCAGGAGTCGGAGCGGAAATACTTCGATGATATGGTGCAGCAGTGCAAGGTGAGGGGATGGGACATCAGGGTTTCTGGGTTTAGGGCGGGGTTCCGGGTATAGCAGTGGGTTGGGGGCCAGGGGGCGCCTGCCTCTCTTAAAGCCCAACACAATGGCCAGTATGAATCTCAGTGCGAAGGGCAAGACGAATTCCATAAGTGGTGAAGCACGTGGTTGATATTGACACGGTGGAGAAATACGAGCGGCTGCAGGAGTCGGAGAGGAAATATTCTGATGATATGGTGCAGCAGTGATAGGTGAGGGACAAGAGGTGGGAGGGGAGGCATGAGGGTTTCGGGGTGCAGGGTGTTTTTGAGACGTCTCAAAAACACCCTCACTTCACGGTGCAGGGTTCGGGTTTATTTGGGGTGAGCTCCCTTTGACCAGCGGCTGCAGGAGTCGGAGCGGAAGTACTTTGACGATATGGCTCAGCAGTGCAAGGTGAGAGAATGGGGGAGGGGGAAGGAACAGGCATGAGGTACCAGGGTTCGGGGTTTATCGGGGGGTGGGGGGTTAGGGAGTCGTGCGCCACACTCGTGATCTGCGAGTGGGGGTTTGATGACAAGGCCAACCATCTGCTCTCACGCTGCAAACACCAAACACCATCAATACCCCCACCTTTCCACTCTCTCCTTGCAAACCCCACTCTCACTCACAGGATGCGGGTGCCACACGGCGACGGCGAGGCCAACCATCTGCTATCATGCTCTCACCCACCCCCCACCTTCCCCCTCTTTGTCTACGACAGAACGCGGGTGCCACACTCGTGATCTGCCAGTGGGGCTTCGACGACGAGGCCAACCATCTGCTCATGCACCGCGGTCTCCCTGCCGTGCGCTGGGTGGGGGGCGTGGAGCTCGAGCTCATCGCTATCGCCACTGGTGGGTAATTGTTTTGGGGCGTTGTGCATGCTTCTGTGCCCGGCAGTACGGGCATGTGTGTCGAAGCATGATGTCTGCCGTACTGCCTGTTGAGACGCGTGGGTGACAAAGAAGAACAAGGCGTCTTCTTTGTCGGCCCCTGCCTTTTGAGACGCCTGTTAAGCCTTCTGGCCCGGGCCTTGCCATGCGTGATCTCGTCTGCCAGAGCTTGAACACAAGCGTATCATGGGCAGTGCGTGCTGGCAGGCACGCCTAATCTGGGTTTAGGGTCGCGCTCGCACACCGTATTCAGGCCCGGCGTGTTCAAAGGCGCTGCTCATTCATGAATCATGACATCCAAGAATATTACGATGTCATGATTCATGAATCATGAGCAAGAATCATGCAAGCCACCATCCTGCTCATTCATGACATCCTTGTGTCACGTGCAAGAATATTATGATAGGGCGCTGCCCCTCTATCCTTCCCGCCCCCCCTCTCCCTCGTACTCTCATCTCTCTCTTGCCCCTTCTCCCTATTCTCCACTCTTTTTTTCCACCCTCCTTCTACTCCTACCTCCCTCACTTATCCCCCCTCACTCTCGTGCCCGTTTCTTTCCTTTGCCCCCATTCTCCCCCTCCCGCCTCCCTCTCCACTCTTTCCCCCTCTGTCCCCCCTACTCCCCGTCGCCCCCCTCTCTCCCTGCCACCCCCTTGGTGCAGGTGGTCGCATCGTGCCTCGCTTCCAGGAGCTCACACCCGAGAAGCTGGGCAAGGTGAGGAGGGGTGTGGAAGGTGGGCAAGGTTGGGAGGGGTGGCGGAGAGTGGGCAAGGTAGGAAGGAGGGATGGAGGGTGGGTGGGTGGGCAAGGCTGAAGGGTGGAGGGTGGGCAGGTTTTGGGGGAGTGGAGGTTTGGGGAATCTGGGACAGGATTGGAGGGTTGAGTTACCGGGCTGCTCTCAAATCTTCTACCCAGCTTCCACCCGCCCTTTGCTCCCACCTCTTCCTCACCCCACCCGGCCGGCATGGCAAGACCAATGTTGGGAGTCAACAACCGTCCCACCCTCCGGTTGTTCCCACCACGTCCCACCCGCCCTCTGTTCCCCTCCCATCCAGGCGGGTGTGGTGCGCGAGAAGGCGTTAGGAACCACCAAGGATCGCGTGCTCTACATTGAGGGGTGCGCCAACCCATGCTGCCAAGCCACCCTCCATCACCAAATCATGCTGCTCCCTCTGCCTCTATGTGTGCTTCTGTTCCCTGTTTCCCCCCCATCCAGGCGGGTGTGGTGCGGGGGAAGGCGTTTGGAACGACCAAGGATCGCATGCTGTCTATTGAGGGGTGCGCCAACTCAGGAATGCTGCTTGCACTACCTCTTACTGTACTTCCACTCCCTACTCGTTCCCCCCTTCCTTCCAGGCTGGTGTGGTGCGGGAGAAGGCCTTTGGAACGACCAAGGATCCCATTCTCTACATTGAGGGGTTCGCCAACTCACGCTGCCACCGCTCATTGCCCGCTGCTTTTCTTCCTTCTTACCCTCCTTTCCAGGCCGGTGTGGTGCGCGAGAAGGCATTCGGAACGACCAAGGATCGCATGCTCTACATTGAGGGGTGCGCCAACCCAGGAACACTCCTTGCACTACCTCTTACTCCTTGCTCCCTACTTGCTCCCCTACCTCTCCAGGCTGGAGTGGTGCGGGAGAAGGCATTCGGAACGACCAAGGATCGCATGCTCTACATTGAGGGGTGTGCCAACTCACGCGCTGTCACTATTTTCATCCGCGGAGGTATGCAGAGCGGTGGGGAGGGGATGTAGAGAGATGCTGGGGCATGCAGAGCGGTGGGGAGGGGATGTAGAGAGATGCTGGGGCATGCAGAGCGGTGGGAGGGCATGGGGAGCAGTGGAAGGTCATGCAGAGCGGTTGGGGGGCATGCCGAGCGGGTTGTGGAGATGCTGGTGACGATGGTAGACGAGGTGGAATATGTGCTATGTGCTGTGTGTGGCTCCTATAACCCTGCTGGCGCCTGCTGTTCCCTTCTTGTTCCCTCCCTCCCTCCACTCCCACACACCACCCTGCAGGCAGCAAGATGACAGTGGAGGAGACCAAGCGCAACCTGCATGACGCTGTGTGGGTGCGTGGCTCTTAACTCACTGGTTTGTGAATGTCATCCCTTCTCGCCCACTCCCCTCTTCCCCCCCCACTCACCACCCGTCAGGCAGCAAGATGATGGAGGAGGAGACCAAGCGCAGCCTGCACGACGCCCTGTGTGTGTGTGGCTCCTATCAACCCTTGCTGACCGTTCTCCATCCCTTTCCACCTCTTCCCTCTCCACATGGCAGGCAGCAAGATGATGGTGGAGGAGACCAAGCGCAGCCTGCACGACGCCCTGTGTGGGGCGTTCTGTCAACCCTTGCCGACACTTGATCCTTCTTCCCCACCCTCCCTCCCCCCCGCCCCTCTGCAGGCAGCAAGATGATGGTGGAGGAGACCAAGCGCAGCCTGCACGACGCCCTGTGTGTGGCGCGCAATCTCATCCGAGACAACCACATCGTGTACGGGGGAGGCTCCGCGGAGCTCACGTGCTCGCTGGCGGTCGAAGCAGCAGCCGACAAGGTTCCCGGGGTGGAGCAGGTGAGGCGCACCTGACATTTGTGAGTGTGAGTCTAGTCCCATCTGAACCTCATCTGAGACAACCACTTCGTGTACGGCGGAGGCTCCGCGGAGCTCGCATGCTCTTTGGCGGTTGAAGCTGCTGCGGATAAGGTCCCAGGAGTGGAGAAGGTAAGTCGCTCCTGATGCCTTTGAGTTGGAATCCCTGTGTGTGGCGCGCAATCTCATCCGAGACAACCACGTCGTGTACGGGGGAGGCTCTGCTGATATAACTTGCTCTCTGGCGGTGGAGGCAGCAGCCGACAAGGTTCCCGGGGGTGGAGCAGGTGAGGGCTGGCTTGATAGGCGTGAGGCGCGTTAACCTGAATATATTCTGCAGAGGCGCTGAGGCAGTGCCAATAGCAGGCCTATCCCCCACTCTCGTGCTGATCTCGTGTTCCCCTGCCCCCCTATGCCCCTGTGCCCCCGTACCTCTACCCGCCAGTGCGCCAGGAGGGCGTACCAGCAGGGAAGGGGGGGATAGGTCTGCCGTGGCAGGAGGCGGTGCCATGGCAGACCTATCCCCCCCTTCCCTGCTGATCTCCTGTTCCCCTGGCCCCCCATTCCTCCTTCCACCAGTACGCCATGAGGGCGTTTGCAGAGGCACTAGAGGCAGTGCCAATGGCATGCCTCCCCCTTTCACTTGTTGATCGCCCTCTCTCCCCTTGTCCCCCTGCCTTTCCCCCCTCACACCCCCTTCCCCCACCACCCGCCAGTACGCCATGAGGGCGTTTGCAGAGGCACTAGAGGCGGTGCCCATGGTAGCCCTGTTCCCTTCTCCCGTGCCCATTTCTTGTCTTTCTGTCCCCTTGTGCCTCTATCACCCATCTCCTGTCCCTCCACCCACCAGTACGCCATGAGGGCGTTCGCAGAGGCACTAGAGGCGGTGCCGATGGCTTTGGCTGAGAACAGTGGCCTGCCACCCATTGATACGGTGTCCAGCATCAAGGCTCAGCAAGTGAAGGTGCGCTGGGCCTCTAGGTTGGGGAATCATAATAGCGTAAAACTGGAGATTAGCACGGAAGGGGGAATCATAGTAGAGTTGGGCCCCTTGTGGGTCAACTCCAGTCAACAGTAGCCTGCCGCCCACTGACAGTGTCCAGCATCAAGGCACAGCAACTCAAGGTACACGGTTAACTCGTGTTTTCTTCATCATTCCAGGATGAAGTCGCTTCAGCCTGAAAGAGCCCAGCAGCATTCGTCGGAGGAAGTGGCAAGCTGACTCGACATTGTGTCAACATGGTAGCTTTTTTCACTCATCGTTTCTGTGTTCCCACTCCCCCGTGGCCTTACAGGAGAACTGCCCGTACCTGGGAGTGGATTGCATGGATGCGGGCACAAACGACATGCGCAAGCAGAAGGTGTTTGAGACATTGATCGGCAAGAAGCAACAGCTGTTGCTGGCCACACAGGTTGTGAAGATGATTCTGAAGATAGACGATGTCATCTCACCATCCCAATACGAGTGATTTCTCAGTAGCGCCTAGTATCCAGATCATTGTTCGCATTTTTTTTTCATCAAAAGAGTTGGATAAATTAGACTTATTTTAACCACTCCAAAACTTGACTAACGTATCGTAGTGGTTTATTCAAAGGGGTTGATGCAAGCTGCGAGCAGTACAAGCGAGTCGCGCGACGCCGTTAATCTGACTTGGGCCGTTTTGGCGGCAGTTTCTTCAAAGTCGGTTTACATTCTGCCTGACTTTTGTCGGCTCTGCCCGTCCTGGTCCATGCAGTCTGCTTTGTTTGTTCTCGGTCTGTTAGAATCCATTCATCAACGTCCACGTTGACCCCTATCTCTTTCTCATTTGCTTGAGATTGGTGGATGAACTTGGCCAAAACTATTTTTGCAGGCCACGCCTGACAGGATGAATTTCGCACATGGACTTGAGCTGGATGGCCAATTAGATTCTACAACTGTACCATCGACGAGGGCGGTTGCTGGACTCGGCAGTCGCAGCAACATGCTCATTGCTGCTCAAAAGAAAATGCGGCACATGCCTCTTGCTGCAACTGTTCTGTATCCTTCAGGACTGCGACTGGCAGTCTGCCTGCGAGCGACAAGTGCTGTTCACCAGCTGACGCCGCTGTACCTTTGCTGGGCTGGATGGCTGCTGCGTCAGGAAGCCATACCGTCGCCCTGGTCGCACAGCAATCCACCTCACCCACGAGAAGAATCGTCCCCGAAAGTCTGCCTCGAAGCCGCACGCGGAAACGTGGACTCGCAGGGATTGGTGCGAGCGACGGGGCGCCACATCCTCCGTCCCAACTTCCGTAAACAGTTGCGGGGCGACATCGCATCAGCTGCTGTTCGACGTCGTCGAACGTCGTAGGAAGGTGTGAAGAAGAGTCGGTGGGGAGTCGAACCACTTCCCGCGTACAATTCGGTTGCTCGCATGACGACAAGATTCATCGCTTTCCCTCGCCATCCCTCGCTTCCCCTCTCGCTTGCACTTCAAGCGATGGAGAGCTCATAAGGACGACCATAGTGCGACTGAACTCATCTCAGCAGCATTTCATTCAGATATCGCAGTGGTCTCTTGCTCATCGCATACACGAAGCCCCTTCCGTCAGGACCGTTTTCACTCGTACCTTTCACACCTCCTGATCTACCTCTGCCTCATTGGTATAGGCGCTATTTCTGCAGTCAATTCTGCTCCACTCCATCTCTACTTACATCTCGAGTTATCATCCAGATGGAGCGCCGATTGGACTCCACGCCATCTCTCCGGGAGTGGGCGGACCCAATGTTCTCCGCTCCTCCCTCCCCCGCAACACCATCGCCGAAAGAAGCCGGGGCGCAGAAGCGATCGCGGTCTCGCGACCTCCCTGGTTCACCCTGCGCTTCCCGCGCTCGGCGCGCAGTGTCTTCTCCTATGCGCCATGTCAAGCGCGCGCAAGAGAGCACCGCAATCGCTAGCGCCAAGCGCGTTCCAACTCTCCGCGTTATCCGCCATAACTCCCTCCCCGCGCCATCCGCCATTGATCTCCCCGCCGCCCTCGAACTCCCGGCGCCCGCTATCCCGACGTTCTCCACCCCTTCTCCGCACCATGCGCCGACATTCAAATCGCAGCAACCGCGTCAAGTCCGACGATATTCCTTCAGCCGCTGTGCGACGCCGAGCGACGCAGCTTTAGACTCGCTCGACTCGTTCCTCCTACCGCCTCCTGCGCTTCCGATTTCCGCCTTCGTTCCGCCTTCAACGCCCCCTTCCGCCTGCCGCGTAGCTCTCGTCGCAACGAAGTCAGGCGGGGAGGAAAGAGAGGAAACCGGCGCTTGCGTGAAGGACACGTCAGCCGTTCCGCGCAGGTCGGTGTTGGACCTGGGAACCAATCAGCGAACGGCACATAGCCCTCGCAAAAGCGACCCGATGTTTGAGCTCCGTCAACGAAGCAGCTGCCTCTCCCCCACTGCGCGTGCCTCTGGAAATGTTAATCTCGCCGCTTGCAGCACGGCAGGCAGCGGGTTTCCTGTTGCGACGTGGCAGCTTCCTCGTCGCGCGAATGGTCCTAGAGTTGGATCCCCTCTTCGCGCTCCGCGTCGGATGGTTCTGCTGAGCTCCGCTACCTGATACATGAGAATAGGGAACGCTAACAGGTGATGTTGACCAACACCATGATATCACGTTCGGTAATATGCTTGAGGTCATATTATAGCGCTTAGAATTGTAGATGGATAGGATGTTGGTGGTTCCAGGAGTGTCTGTATCATCCTGGAAGCAATCTTGGATGATACAGGACACTCTCACGCGTAAACTAATATGAGTTCTCAATTATTATGGGATTTGCGTAGCTTGTAAATTGTTATATATTTTGGTGAAGTAGAAGAATTTTCAATTACACTAGATACTAGATACTTGCAACAAAGAAAGTACAATTACCAGTTGACAATAACGAGGTTTTCGGGTTTGGCCAGTAGAAGCCAATCAGCAACAGGGTCACCGACGATGGAGGAAGTCACTCTCGCTGGTCAGGTTTTTGGGGTGGTCGTTTCGGACCTCAGGGCCCAGTTCGGCAGCCACGGAAGAAGGGCGGAAGAAAAATGTTTCTTCGAAGCTTCAAATCGCATTATCGAGGGCAAAACAGTACGGGCTGTAGGGTAAACTTTCCGGAAATCTAAACGCAGGTGTTTAGCAGCAGCGACGCGAACACCTCCAAACATTGCTTCCGCGCCGTCTTCTGTCCTTATTCTCCCCCCCTTGGCGGAAAGGTTCCGCCCTAGTGAGACGGAAGAAGAAAGTGATTCTTTGAAAAAGGAAGAATCACTTTTCTGATTCCACCTGGGTTCACTGTTAACGGGCCAACATTGGACCCTACAAAGGAAAGGGTTACTACATTAGAAAAATGCATTGTTCGTTTTTTAAAAGTTGAATTTCCCCAACAGCAGGGGGCGCGAATCTTTTGGTTTTTTCCGATTGTTCCTTTCTGTTCCCGCTACAGTGCCCTGGGGCAAGCACATTTGAGGCCAAATGTGCCTCTCTCCTGCGACGATTTTTCGTATCCCCCCCTACAATCTGCCCCAGCTCCCCCATGGCGCAGGTTTTCCGCGGAGCAGTCAACCCAGGGTCAAAATTCGTTGACCCTGGGTTGACGCCCGCCTTACCTTCGCCGCATCTTCCTCACATTTTGCTTCCGCGTGGCTGCCGAACTGGGCCCAGATCAAGCACTGATGCCATGAAGGTGGATGCTCGGAAGACCCGAAGATCCGAAGTGGAGGCTCGGCAGGCGTCCTCCAGCGCATTGACCATTCTCGAGACGCGTCTCGATCTGACTCCCATGTTGCAACGATTTGAATGCTTGGGCAGGTGTATGTTTAGTACACCTGCCCAACCACATACACCTAGTCTGCGTTATTTTAACTGTCGATATTTTAACCACGTTTGTCCGCATGCAGGGACTTGACTGAGAGGAGGCTGCAATTACTGTACATCACTGACCCCACATTCACGGAAACCAAGTCACTTTTTGTACAGGTCAACATTGCCTGGAGCCCTAGATTCACAAATCAGCAGCCCCTTCCTGGAATTCCGGGCTTGTTCCTATGAAACATTCGATTGGAGAGAATTGTTTCGAGAAGCGCATACGAATTCAAAATTCTAACGACGATTGGCGAAATCTGCTGGTGGCGCTGCTGGTGGTGGTGGTACTGCTGGTGCTGCTGCTGCTGCTGATACTCCTCGGGGTGGTGTTGGGGGAGGTGGTACTGCTGGTGGGGGTGCTGCTGCTAACGCTGCTGGTGGTGGTGTAGGTGGTGGTTCTGCTGGTGCTGCTTCTACTGCTGCGTCAGGTGCTGCTTCTGGTGCTGCTGCCGGTGCTGCTGCCGGTGGTGCTGCTGGTGCTGGTACTGGTGCTACTTGGGGGGGGGGGGGTGCTACAGGTGTTGAGGCAAGTGCAAGCGCAAAGGCAACAGGAGGCCTTGCATACCAAGGCTCGGCAGCAGGGAGGGCAGCAACAGCAGCTCCAGAAGCAGCAGCTGAGACGGAAAATTCACGAACAATTGTTGGAAACAATCGATCTTAAGCGCCTCTGTCGTGTCGAAACACTAAGGCACAAACGAAGCGAAGCATATCGAAGCACCGGCGAGTCAACCCTCGGAGGTTGAAAGTAACTGTTGGAGGTTACGCGAAAGTCAAAGGTCAGCGACCTTTGACCTGACAAAGTACAGCGCAACAGCAAGGACACACAACTGACTCGCTACAGAACAGTTGCCCGAGTCGTCACTGTATCGAACCGCGACAGCAACAGTAAAACAGTTATAACTGTACCCCTTCATATTCCTTGTACTCTTATATAATCTTGTATCTTTGTCTTAATCAATCTACTTTGCCCTCACATACTAGCGCAAGGTGGTTCAACCACTTCATTAAAAGCTTCTGCTATTACATTATCCCTACCCCGAATTCACCATTGAAAGATCCAAAGGGTTATTTTTCTCAGCCCAACATGGTATGAGAGCTGTCAAGGGGAATTCAACTTCTATCAAGATACCGACAACATCAACAGACATGGCTACACAAAAGGAAAGGAGCTCCTCCAACGGTTCCCAGGGCACTACTCCTACTCCACCTCCTGCCTCTGGCCTACAGACAGAGGAAGGCACGGCAGTTAGACCTAGAGCAACGTCTACCGAGACTCCCGCGAATCAACCTGCAGACTTCGACCTGAGTATGATGGAGAAATTCTTCTCCTTCATGTCCTTCTACGAGCAACACCAGCAATCGGCACCTGCGCAGTCACACAATAGCAACAACAACGGAGCAACCCCCATGAGTCTCGACGGCTCATCATACGCACGAGGAAATCAACAGCAGCAGCCTACCTTTGCTCCGTACGAGCGCGGGTCCATCAGCTTTATGCCACACCCGCAGCCTTCACCTGGACAAGAAAAGCCACCGGACGCATTACAAGTTCAGTCGCAGTTCGCGCACGTTCTGAAGATGCAGACGTCAAGACCTTTCGATGGAAAGGA